ATGATACATACAAATATCTGGGTTTCTGTCAATCCTCCCACATCAATCATACCAAAACGAAAACACAGTTAAAAGATCAATACCTAGCGAGATTAAAATTAATATTGAAGACACAGTTAAATGGAAAAAATTTAATGAAAAAAGTAAATACATTCTGCGTTCCACTGCTACCATATTCTTTTGGAGTCATTAAATTGTCCAAAACTGGTCTTGAAAATTTAAACATCGCAACAAGGAAAATCTTCACACAGTATAGAAGGCATCATCCAAAATCGTCCATTGAAAGATTCTCATTATCAAGACAGAATGGAGGAAGGGGTTTCCAGAAGCTAGAAAACTTATATCAGAGACAAATCTCAGATCTGAAGAAGTATTTCTTGAAACGAGCAGAAAGAAATGAAATGTATCGCACCATCACAAGGGCAGATTTGAACCACACACCCTTAAATCTGTCCAACACCGAAGAAATCCACACCCCCCCACACAATAGACAAAATAATAAGTGGGATAAAACAAAAGCAACTACATGGAAAATTCTACAAAGACTTAGAAGAAACTCATGTCAGCAAGAAGATGTCATTGATTTGGTTAAAAAAATCAAGTTTGTATGCCGAAACAGAAGGATTTGTGTTTGCTATTCAAGACCAAGTAATCAATACCAAGAATTACAGAAAATACATCATCAAAGATCCGAATATAAGAAACGACTGCTGTCGCCTCTGCAAAGCAAAACCTGAAACGATCCAGCACATAATCTCCTCCTGTAGCATCCTGGCACAAACTAACTACAAAGCTAGACACGACAACGCAGCCAAAATCATTCACAAAGAATTAGCAACACTTATGAACTTAATCGAAGATACGACACCCTATTACACTTACATTCCATCTCCGTTCCTTGAAAATAACAAATACAAATTATACTGGGATCGCACAATACTTACAGACTTAAACATTACAGCTAACAGACCAGACATCATACTTATCAAAAAACACACGAACGAAGCCATTCTCATTGACATTGCTATTCCTAACACAAACAACATTATTCAAACATACCACACCAAGATTTCAAAATATCTACAATTATCAATAGAAATGAAATCCATGTTGAATCTTAAAAAAATTTCAATTCTACCCTTAGTTATCTCTAATGTAGGTGTAGTCCCAAATAGCTTAGTTGAGAATTTAAAGTCTTTGCATTTGAATGATTCAATAATTGTCAAAATTCAAAAAGCTGTTTTGTTAGGAACATGTCATATTGTTCGTAAGTTTCTCGAACAGTCTGATCATGTCAGTCAGATTAGATTAGCACCAGTAGGTCAGAGTAATGTAGGTCACTTTCCAAATAAATGATCGGCAATTACGCTAGACTTTTGGGGATGGGGTGAGTTTAGAGAATAATAGCAGACTAATTTGTATGCTTTAATTCTAGAATCTCGAAAGTTGTTTTGTTAATCTAATCAATGCATATCATTACTTGGTCTTAATACCCGTAATGATAGAAGTCTTGCCTGAATGCCGGTCATTTCCGGGTCAGTGGTGGGTCTTAATAAAAAAAAGTATATTTTATAATAAACAACAATTGGCAATAATATTTACTTCATTTAACCCAATCATCATCATTAATCATCATTTTGTCAAAAAATACAAATGCAACATATTTTTGGTTTTTATTATTTTTTAAGAGAAAATTAATGACTTCGCCGCGTATACGTGTTTAATTTATATACATTGAAAACGCTAAAACTCCATCCGTGCGTCCCTGGGTCGACGCACTCTTTTTTTGTTTCATAGAGTTTTTAGCGGCGTGTTAGAAACGAAGATGTTTTACTTTGCTTAATACAAAATCGTGCTATATTACTTTCGTTTATCGCCTCTTAAATTTGGAGTTCCATCAAGGTACCCACTGGTTGTAACCTTTCCCATTTATTTATAGGCTGCGTTAAGTAAAATATGATTTAATTGCGGAATGGTCATGTTAACATCACTACTTAATTGAAAAAAAAATCCAATGCTTTCGTTGTTTCATTCAGTTTCATTTCAAATATTGTGCTCGGCAAAGATCTTTGTACTCGTTTAGCACAAGGGCCAATTTTATTGCAGTACTAGGTGTTATGTTTTGATAGTGGTCACAGGCAAAAATTCAGCTTTCGTTCGATTCTACTAGACATTAGAAGTGTAATGGTTTACAACAAGGCATGACAAAGTTAACTGGCTTTACTACAAGGACTTTGTGCCGATAGCCACTGCCACCTAATTTGCATATTTACCTCGTCTTTTTTGGTAGAGGCTTCAAAATACACCTAATCTCTCAATACTGGATCGCCTCCTTATAAGGAGGCGATCCAGTATATCACTATAGTGAAGTCTTACAAAAAATAACCTCATCCGAAGAAAGAGAATGTTTAGTTGGTTACATTAACAAAAAATGGGTTATTCAATTTGCTGTAATCAACAATAAGTAAAAAATGGACAATAATTTAAGACAAAAATAATTAAAAATAAATTCTTAAAGACATTCCTTATAACATTAGCTATTGCTGACGGTAAAATACGTTTTTTATTATGGCCCTATGAGTATAAGAAACAGCGGCGGCTGATGCCAGGGGGCACAAGGACACGTGCTCCCCCGAAATTACAACTTCTACAAATACATTGGATATAGCAAACTAGTAATTTTCAATAATTAAAAAATTATTCGGAAATTTGTGTTATAATTATCAAAACTAAGTTTTTTATCTCGCTCCTCTTGTATAAAACGTATCAAAACTTACATCTAAAGATGCTGTGTCTTGGATATATGATATGTTATTGCTAATGAAGTGCTGATAAAAGCGGAGACGGAGGCCAAATCATGGCTCATTGAGACGTTTTGTTTACACCGTTGCCATGGAAACCGTGCGTCTAGTAATGGTATTGCGCTGGAATCCTGTTCCGACAGGGACCACCAGCAGTAACTCAATTACGGGTTTTAATTTTCATTCTGCGCAAGTGAAATTGTTTGATTTTAAATAAGAGCCACCCCCGATTTATTAGTAAAAAAGTATTCTTGGTAAAACGAAAGACTTTCATAGATATTTTAATAGACTTAACATGTATGATAAATATTCATAGATGTGCGGTTGTGAAAAAAATAATAAATTGTTTTGTTTTGTGCGTCTCCTCAAAAATGAGTTAAGACCATCGCTCTGGATTAATACTGGCGTAGATCTTCTACGACACGAAGGTATGTGGACAAAGACATTTTTACTTTTATTGAATGTATTTTTGTATTTATTTCCGTCACACAATTTCGTCTATTAATTCGTAATAACAACCTGTTTTATATGTCATATATAAATACCAGTACAAGAAGAGTTTGCAATAAGCGGGTAACAGAAAATCGGGAGACGGTGGCAACAGTTCTCAATGAAGTGAACGAAAATCCAAATATTAGTATAAGATCTTTGGCGAGACAATTATAAATTCAAGTTTCAGTTACTCCCATTCAGCGTATTTTAAAAAAGAATAAATATTATCCGTACAAAATTTCTTTGCACCAAGAACTCTCGAAAGCGGATAAGGAAAGCCGACGAAATTTTTGTAGAAATATGTTAAGAATATTCGACGCTCATCCAAATTATCCTTTCTCAATATTATTTTCAGATGAGTCTTCTTTTAGAAGTAGTAGCGTAGTGAAACGTCATAACATGCACTACTGTTCAGTTGCAAATCCTCACTGAGTTAAATATGTTAGGCATTTTCCCTATAATGGAATCTTAACTTTTAGCTGATTTTACTAAATGTCCATTAAAACATTCAAGAACAACCAAATAAAAATCTATTCAGTAGTAAACCATTAGTAACAAGGTAGGTAATCATAGTATTTCCAATGTAAGCTGCAACTTTTGTATAACACACCACCCAGACATCGGCCCCGCAGTTCGACAATTCACCTGATCTCTAGTGACTGTCCGAAACACCCACCCGCAAGAAGAATTTAGACCTTGAGTTCGCGGAACTCCAGAACGCTCTCGAAGCGGTGACCGCGAACTATCCAGAAAGGAACGTAACAGCAAATGAGAGAATTTGAGTCTAGTCGAACCCACTCCACTCGAGTCGGAATTATTCTGTACATAATCTCTGTATGTCGTGAAGTTTTGTATTACTGTGAAATAAATTGTTGAGTTTTACCCACGCCACCAATGTAAGAATAATAAGTTCTGTGCTTTAAGTCATGAATTCTCGACGTTATTTTTGGATGAAGGCAGTAAAATATTTATTTTATCATTGTATTGTCACACGAATCGTTGTAGGTCTTTTCTTAATTCAAAATTATAAAAAATTTCGATTGATTTTCTTTTGCAAAGCAGCAAAAGTTGACGAATTTTTGTCTTTGGTCACAACAACTTTTGAGACAGTTACACCTATAATATTTTGAAAACAAACATATACAAGTAAATGTAAGTTACATAAAAATTCTAGTTTATTAGCAATGAAATTACTTTTTTCGTTTTGAACGTAATTGTGTGACATTAATGCCTTTAAAAATTTACTTTCTTTATTAAAAAACTAAAAATTCCATTATTGTAGTACCTAAAAAGTAGGCAAACTAGCATGCGTAAAGATACATGTCAAATGTGATAGTAAAAAAACACATCTTGACCGACGTCATAGCAGCCAACAAAACAGAAAAAAAAACATGGGCTATTAATATCTGAAAAGGTGGTGAAAATAATATTTCACCTTTAAAACACTACTAAAACCAAAAATAATTATATAACCCATCACAAATAACTACAACAACTGCTACGAAACACGCTACCGTCCTCTACTCTGTACACAAAATTTGATAATATTTCCCCATATAAAACATCTTCAAACAATCAATAAACCACCCCTAAATAAAACCGACTCATATCGCAAATCTCAACAACGCAACGTCGCGTCCCCAGAATTTACGAGCACGAGCTAAAAATACCAATATATCAAAAAGGACAGTGTATGGTCAGACTTACCGATAGTCGTTATCACTATTATCGAATAAAAAAGGGCGCCAGTACTCGTCCATTGAACTATGTTCTCGTCCTCGTCTCCGTCCCAGCCGTCTTTTGTCATTGCCTTAAGTATGGCACCCTCGAATTCTTTCAGGTAGGTTTCGGCGCCCGCTTTGAATTTATCTTCCCGTAGGACGTCTAATCTATTCGTTAGATTCCATAAGTGGTCCGTCATGTTAAAGCGCAGTTTGCTGATGTTGCGCTTTATCTGGAAAATTATCAGAGAGAGGGAAAGTTGGAAATGCACTGAAGTGGTTTGATTTTGTGTGTTGTTTTTGGTTTGATCTTTTGGGGGCTTTCAAAGAGTCAGTAATCAATTGCGGGTTGTTCTTTTGCTTTTGGGCGGTTTTAGGAAACGCGAGGAAGCTGCTGAGTTGATTAAGTGGGGAGTTAGTTTGGTGGTAAGAAAATTGCGATTGATTACATATTGTGTAGAGAGATGATGGTTCAGAGCAGAATTTCGAAGCGCTTGGGGACATCGGGTGTAAAGTATGGACGAACAAACATTAATACGGGGTGTTTCACGAATAGCGTCGGTTTCAGTAATCGGGCTGGTGCAACTCGAAGTGCATTCTCGCAGGATATTTCGCAAATTATACATTTGAAAATATTTTTTTACAATTAAAGTTATCCATTTTTAAGAACCATCAAATAGATTAGTGAGCTTGCAAATAATTACAATGATCTAAAACGACTGAAAAACGGAAATGACATTGATATATTTAGAGAACGCAGAAAAAATGCAGCAGCGGCAACTAATTTATACAGAACCAAATACCCCAACACAAGGGCTCCAAGCAGAAAAATGTTTCGTTGATTAGAAGCAAAATTACAAGAAAGTTCGATATCAAGGATTTTGTGTAGCACATTACAACGGTACAAGAATTAAAAAGGACTAGTTACCTTATAAGACTTGAATTGTGTGCTTTTTTTGTGAGTGTCTGAGAGTTAATTAAAAAATTTTAAACTTTGTTTTATTCAGTGACGAGGCTAAATTTAGTAATTCATAATTGTGGGGTTAATAAGCACGACTTTCATTATTATAAATACTTATGAAAAATAAAATTTTCGACGAAAGTTTGTGTGGCATTATTAGAGATAGAATTATTAAGTCAAACTTTTTTCATGAATTCGTTATTTATAATATCTTGTCACAATTATCGGGGGAGCTGAAAATGAACACAACATTTCAGATGTGATTTCAACAAGATGAAGCTCCATCCCATTTTGATGACATTTGGTGCAACTATTTTAAGATGGCTCCGCAAGTGTCTTGTTGTCTCTGACCACAATCCTCCAAAAATGAAGGAAATATTGATGGCACAAATATGGTAGAAAAATTTACATATTTGGATGGGCAGATTCGATCATCCCTAGCGGTTGTTTAATCTCGTTGATTCATTCGCTTCGTTCTTAGTCATTGATGGATACTTTGATGAATCATTCGGTCTTTGGGTCAACATTTTAGTTTCTTTTCCTTGGATCCGATCATATTATATTTAAGCCATGTGGGGACCAAACATCCAAAAGAATCAAAAGTCGATCACCATGAAGCATTACCAAAAATCGGTCCTTCTCAGGACCACCATTTGTTTCTACAACTAATAATCTTTGGCTTTGATCTTTAACAATGAATGAATACATGAATGACCGAATGATAACCAGCAAAAATTCGGTTGCATCGAGGTTGGTGGATGGGGGTTTTGCCCCGGTCGACTTTTAATTTGTTTTTTTCTATATTTCCACATAACTACGGTAGCTGATGCCGTAATTACAATTATTGCGTTTATTTCAAAATCACCCTGTATATATTTTTAGATGATCTTTACAGCTTATTCACAACTCTCCGACTTTTATTAAACCCTACTTTATCCTTAAGAATTTCCGAGAAGACTGAGTGAAGACTGTCAGGTAGGTATATCGCGCGATCACCATAATTTGTAATCAAGTCATGCTTGGAACTGAGTCCGTATGTCGTCTCTGAAATGATAGTTAATAAGTTAATTTTGGTTGCCGATAATTTTGTAAACATATTACCGTCTGACTTTTTAAATTTCTGCTCTAGTTAGCCATGACGCTCGTGTACGCAGTGAAACGTATTGCATAACTTGAACTTGAAGGGTATATTTTGGGTAGCCTGACAGCTAGCGTCATAGCCTTAGTCAACATAAATATATCTAACCTAACTTCTTTGCCGTTCAATTTTCTCGGTTTTTTTCAAGACTGCATTGTCGTTTGAGAGTGAATCAAGCGTATTCAAGGACTTCTTAAATTCAGTAAAAGAAGTATTTTTGATCTGTGCAAAGTGTTCACCGAAGAATATAAAAAGTTCGTGTTGGAATCTTACTTCCTTAACCATGAATGGGTGTATGAAACCAGATCCTGTTTCCTTTCGTGAAGAATTTCCTGATGCTGCTGTAGTAGAAGCAACTCTTGTAAACAGTGTCGGCGTAGCGTGGTTTGGCACCCAGGGCGCTTTTCTATTGAGCATCTCCAATATAATGAAACAATAAATACTAAACGTGCTTACGGGTCTTTATCTCGGAAAAATATTCTATGACGTTATCAAAATTTACTTTCCTCTCTTTTTCAATTGATAAAATGGAAGAACATTTTTTATTATTTTAAACATTTTAATCAATAAATTGAATAAACACAATTAAGAAAAGTTAAAATGACCACTAAATATAAAATATTGTTGTTCAAAGAATACTATGTATATTAAGAAAAAAATAAAGCCAAAGATTAAGCCCCACCCATACATGCCCTCATCTGAATAGTAATGAAATTTTCATTAGTTGACAGACCATGGGGCGGAGCCTAATTGCAAGATCCATATTTCCTTACTAAAATTTACCATTTACAATTGAGATAGGGTGGGTTGGCGGGGTTTATATTTTGCCTCTTTTTCTTAATATAGTTAGTATTCTTTGAACAACATGATACTGATTTTTAATTTCTTGTAAAGAAATAAGTATTTTTCAGTTAAGCTCCGTTCCCTTGATTCACGGCGAATAAAAAAAAAATCATCACAATTGGGATAGGAGCTTAATTGCAAAATCCTTATTTCTCTACAAGAAATAAAAAACATCTTTTTGAGTATCGTGTTGTTCAAAGAATATTATGTATATTAAGAAAAAATCAAGCCAAAAATTAAGCCCGACTCATATCCATCCCAAGCTCAATCGTGATGAATTTTTCATTCGTTGTCAGACCGAGAGGCGGAGCCTAATTGTAAAATCGTTACTTTCCTACCAAAATATGCCATTTTAAACATGTTTTACAGCTATTTAAAATATGAGTGTTTCGGTGAACAGGGGATTCCAACCGGAAAAATGTCCCCCCTAATTTATGTGATTTTCCTTCAAGTTGGCAGAACTGCACACTACCGCAGTTTGATTGATTGAAAACCCAAAGTCAACGGCAACGTAACGGCGAACAAAATTTGAGTCCCTTGGATTATTTCAAGTTCCCAACGTTGAAAAATACCATCTTCAAACAACTTGTGCACACCGCTGACGACTTAAAGGCTCGAATGCTCGAAGAGTGTGAACGAATTACCCCAAAGGTTTTTGTTCCAGTGTTCGAAAATATGAAACGAAGAGTAAATTTGTCTCTAGAGGCTGAATTTCCAGCAACTGTTATATATAAATAAAAGATTTTGTATGATCATTTGAAATCTTGGTGACATCAGCTTTGAATAACCTAACTTTTTCGCAATGACGGTGGATATTCACGCAACCCAAAATACACTCTTCCGGTTCAAGTTACGCAATACGTTTCACTGCTGACTTAAACGTCACGGGTAACTATAGCAAAAATTAAAAACGAACGGGTAATAAGGTTCTTTATAAACCGATTTTTAATTTGATTTAAATTTTACGTCGTCACTCTCGTTGTGACTTTAACAACTGCTACATGAAATATCTTGTAGATAAGCGAAGAAAAATGTTGCTGCCGCGGTGGGAAACGAACCCAACGTCTCCGGCTTGCCGGGCGCCTACTCTGACCACTAGACTACAGAGCGCCTTATCTTTATTGGCTTACCAACCTGTTATTGTGCCGCCGCAGCCTCTTCTAACCGTACTTTTCTTACTTGCAGGAATTGCAGGAAGTTGATTTTACAGCTATTTAGGTTTGATTATTTTCAGTAGGCAATTAGCAAAATTATGTTCCGCACAACGTATTTTACGTTAACGTACACGAGGGCCAATAGGGACACTGCATTTTTTATCTTTCTATAGATATAACAGTTTTCTCTACGTTTTACGTGCTGTACGTGGAGAAAACCTTTTTGACACTTAAAGTCTGGTTTCATTTGAAACGGTACATTAATTCCCAAAATATGAATGTATGGTGCACCGAAAATTCACATGTGTATATGTCAAGACTCCTCTTCACCCTCAATAAATTGTTGTTTGGGGTACAATTAGTCAAAGACGGATAGTGGGGCACATATTCTTTAAAAGTAATTAGGGTAGTACTAATTGATTTAATTTTAATTAAAAGTGATTGACTGGTGTGTTCAATGTAATCCTCTTCAAAGTAACTCAATCGGTCCTAGATATCGGTAAGAAATTTTGCCATATTTTATACTACAACTTCACGGTTATTTTCCACAAGACGGGGCTACAGCGCATTCGTTTAGAACCACAATAGCAATATTACGGAATCTTTTTGGCGATATAACATGAGAATATCAGTTAAGACTGTGGTCAAAACCGTGTTCTTTGGGTTTTCTGTTTGAAAAGTAAATGATTCATCCACCAGTTTCTTAAATTTAAACTTAATAACTAATTTATCAACTAATCCTGTTTCAAAACCTTTACGTCTGACTAAATCTTCAGGGATAATCACAACGCCATGTTTTAATTTATATAATACCCGTCCGGCAAGTGGGAAACGTGAACTCGAATCCTTAGATCATTATATTTATTGGGTCTGTGATCTAAGTTCGAATCCCACTCAGGCAGTGACATTTTTACTTGCTTTCCCCAAATTATTTGGTGTGTGTACATCCTAGTTAAATTTTATAAAATAATAATATATCGTACTAATTGCTGTACTCATAGTTTAAGAGTATTCATCTACCCTTATCTTATATCTCATATCTCACCTATCTAGATTTAAAAAAAAGATGACAAAGTACAAGAAAAATTAAAAAAATTGCTTTAGGAGCCACAAAAACCATTGTTCTAAAATGTTGCAAATGCTTTAAGGTTATATCAAAACTTATTTGATTATGCTCTCCAAAAACTTGATGTCATCATAAAATTTTGCTAGATAAATCCAGTTCAAAAAGTGCAAAATATTATGTGGTTAATTGTAGTTTATCTGTACAGTCGTTTGTTTAAGCCTGCATATACACATTTTTGGAGAAAAAAAATCAAAACTATACAGCAAAATGTTATAACTGTTATAAGTTGACTTAAAAAGAATTGGAACTTCCCTCCCCCTTGAAGTACAGCCTAGCGAATTCCCCTTCTTTGAAAAAATATAAAAAAGTTTGTATATGTATTTCCTTGCACAAAATTTTACAACAATCGGTCCAGTAGTTTCGAAGATTACGTGTCTAATAAAAATGGATACAGACAGACAGACAGACGTTAGCTTACGCTTGGGAAGTAAAAATGATGATGGTAAAATGTTAAAAAAAACTGTTATGTTTAAAATTTTCTCTTAATGATGTAGATACTACATTTTGAAAATAATAATATTAATAATTATCATAATAATAGTATATTTGCCCAACAGAAACAAGTCCCAATTACAGGACAATGGACAATAGAAAAGGTAGCGACTAGCCGTAGTAAGAGCAGTTAGTTCCCAATAAATTGGATAAGCAGCTGTGACATCATGACTGGTGTGACATTACGAGGTCAACACAGACCTAGGTCATGTGATCTGAGACGCGGTTCGCACATTAATCCTACCGCCTCTCTGGAATAATCGACGAAATTAACCACAAGTTATCCTGCATTCCAAAACATCTTTTTTTGCAAAGATTCATTTAATAATATTTTAAGACGTCATCAAATTTCCGGAGAAGAATAACAAATCAATTAGGATTACGCTGCAAATTTCGAAATAATTGGTTCGATTATTTCAGAGGAATCTGTCAAAATGCTTCCCTTAGTTCCCTTAATTTAATATTTTTTAAAATCACGCCGTTAACTTTCTAGACGGGTGAGAAGATAAAATTTAGTCGAAGTTCTACATTTCTTAAATCAGTGTGATGTATGGTCCCTTATGTAATCTCAAAGATAAATTTGATGGTCCAAACTTTTCTTTTTAGACTGAGTCGTCTCCCTAAAGTTTATGTACAGATTACCAAACCACAAGTAAAGGAACATTCAGGCTAGACGTTTCAACTGAGATTTATTTAACAATGTTTTATAACAAAGTTATTAGTTTCTAGAGGGAATAGAACTGTTAGTTAGTAGTTTATGGAGTTCGCAGTAATTTCTTTACTTTTGGAGATTGTATGTCTAATGCAATAAGCAACAGACAGACAACTGACGGTTAGACGGAAATGTCATCAGACTTTCTAGTAAAAACAAAAATAAACCAAATAAGTATAAAAATTGAAAGTTCAGTATTAAGCCTCTATACTGTTTAATAAATGAATCTGTACCTGTTTGTGTTTTCTTCATTAAAAATAATAGAAACTGCTCAGTGGCTTCCAGCCCTTCAGGCGTTCACATTTACATGGTAAGTACTAATACTAATTGTACCGAAAAACAAAACCTATTTTTGTCGAAAAGTTCAAAGCGAAAATAAACCAGCCCTTCACAAAGCAACTTAAAGAACTCCACATGACAATTACTTCCCGCGTATCATGAAACAACACACCCTTCAAACACGCACCCCTTTAACCACCCTCAAACTACTCATTCCCTCCTTGAATTTCAACAGAATTCCTTTGAACACTACTGCCATTCAAAATATTCCTTAAGAATGCTGCAAAACGATACTCACGTCCTTTTCATGGTGCACTTCCAAGGCTTCGAACGTGAAAGCGCCCAAGACACAATAAGAAACCACCATTGAAACTAAAGTTATATGTGAGAGAAGGCACGTAATTGTTTTCCATGTATAATGCAAGAAACTTGAGCAAACACTCGGTTTATCATAGTCGAGCATTTCGGGGTCGGAGCGGCTGTAGCGCGACATTTTCCTCGATTTTTCCGAAATTTCTTCGCATTTGGCCGACTTTTGAAGGGATTAGGCGCGGACGTCTCTTGGATTTTCTTCGACCACTGAGCTATTTATAACAATAAGTTTCTGATGCATGTGTTGCGGCGCGAGCATATTTACGAAACACTAAAATAGATGAAGTGCTACTTTTCCGTTTCCGCTATAAATCATAGGTAGAGTTGAGATGTTCGGGAAAACGAGCGAAATGATGGTGAAACTGGGGGAAGGGCGGAAAATGAAGTTTTAGGGAAAGTGAAAGTTTTAAAATAAATTGATTTTGAAAGCAGAGATTACAGATAATTGTAGACAGCAATAGAAATAAATACATTTTGTTAATAGAGGGCGCAGCCAAAACTACAGCACACTTTTAACATCATAATTGATGCTTGGAAACTCGACAATAGAGGGCAGCACATAACTTGTGGACAGAATGTATTTGAAAACCAGAGAATATCACTGGACTGACAGTTTGAAATTCGGATGAAAATAATACTAAATGCCACCACAAAAATTACCGCAGCCATCAGCGTGCAATACCAAAGTGAAATACTAAACAATAAATTACATACACTTCATTCTAACTTCTTCGCAAACAAGTGTTGACGGTATTTTCTGCATCAAAATATCGAAGAAGAAATATGCAAAACATGCATATGCAACTGCTTAATTTGAACATGTCTAACAAAACATAATTAATTATTAATTGTTAAAATACAGGCCTTGTAACGTTTATTTGGAATATAATAATTCAAAACATAACTAAATTAAGTATGTAAGAAAATGCTGTTTACACCGTATTTGTATTTTAGCTATACTTTTTATTAAACCAATTGATTATTAAATGTTTTTCAAAACATGCGCTTGTCACATAAAACAGCTTTAACAATGAAAACGATCTTTCAACAACCACAGAGGTTATTGGAGCAAATTTTAAATTCTGTTATATCTGGATCTACATCCACATTTACAAATTCTCCGCCCAAAATTTTTCTCACCAACGACAAGGTATTAAAACCTAGATTTTTTTTCTAAAACAGACATCAATTTTTGAAAAACTTTTTCATCTATCTTACATTGAACATTGGATAGTTTTTAAAAACAATTTGTTTCTATCTGAACAGAATCTACCAGTGCTAAATTGTTTGTTACAAGTTTTAAAATTTTATCAGCAATGGAAAAATTAGCTGAAATAAATACCAATTAAGATGGCAGTTCTATTTTAACAGAAAGTACAGTGAAACATATCCAGCATTCTTGAGTATTTATTTATCTTAATACATCGAAAGAATGTCACGCAGAAATTAGTTTCATTTCAATTAATTGACAGTCGAATAAAATGATCTGTATATTATAATTCTTATTTTATTATTATTGTAAAGACGAGTTTTCACATTTTCGAGGAAATGGGGTGACTCGTTCTTAATTTGACCAATAAGAAATTGGTAATGAAGTCATCAACATGGATAATACTAGTCACAGTACAAAAAAAAGTAGTCTCAGCGTATTACCAATGCAAGAAAAAAAGTAAACGGCCAAGTTTGGCATCGAACCAGTACCGCAACGTTGCACGGATTCGCTGACCGTCTCCGAGGTCTCGCCTTGCCGCTACGCCACGGGGACTCCAGGGTTGGTAATATACGCCGAAATTATTTTTGCGAAAATTTGAACGTTTAAGGAAAAAACTGAAAGCGGATTCGTATACCACAAATATAGGAGTCTATTTTTATATAACATTAAAATTATTTTAAAATACAATTCAATAAAATGACGTCATCAAATTGTTGGTAGGGATGATTATCCAAATTTTGGGCAGTATTTAACCATCTACATGAAATTCCTAATATACATGCAAAATTTGACAACAATCGGTCCAGCAGATTCGGAGATTACTTGTCTAATAAAAATGGATACAGACACCAGACTGACAGACAGACGGAAACGGGAGACTACTTTTTTCGTACTGTAGGGCTCAGGAAACATCGAGAAAACATAAATGTGGCACTTCGTCCGATGGACTCGATTACTATACTTCCTTGGCTTACGCTCGGGAAGTAAAAATCAAGTTGATCATATACTAATACATAGAAAATGTAAAAATTCCTTGAAAAACGTCAGAGCAATGGAAAGTGTAGACATTTCTTCTGATTATGAACTTATCAAAGCTAAACTAAAGATAAGTTTGAAAACAAATTACTCACAAAACAAGAAAAATGTGATGTGATGAATAGATTCAAATTGTTATTTATCTGTTGATAACTCAGTAAGAGGATATAGAAATAAAGGATCCAAAGAATGGCTTTCTGTATCAACAGAAGACAGAAGAAAAACAACAAATCTTGAGTACAAACAACTCAGAGGCACGAGAAAAATTGGAATCAGGTACATACAAAGAATTAGACCAGAATTATGCGAGATATTAATGAAATTGATAAAAAACAAGACATACAAGCAACAAGACTGATAGGCAAAAAAGACGAATTATACAAAAATGTAGAAGAAATGCAAAAGAAGTGAGTGAAATGCTTTACAGAACTCTACAAACAGAAGACCATAGCTACAGAAAAAGAGAATGAAGAAGGGAATAGCGACCAGAAGAGGATTCTCAAAGCAACCGGATTTGATGTAAGAGCATTTAGTAAAGATAGATACAGACGTCAAACAAAAATATGTAATAGTAATATTTCTATTTTGTTTCTACCTTTTTTGTGAAGATGTTTGTTCTTCCATTTCCTTTGTCAATATGTTGTTAAAACGAGTACTGATGTATTTGAGAAATACTTCAAGAAAAAGAAACTTACACAAATGTAGATAAAGAACTCACAAATAGAATACAGCCTAAGACCCGTAACAGCTTGAAGACGTTAAAGAATGATATAGAAAATTGATAAGATATAACGGGGTACCACCTAAATTGTGTTGTCTGAGAAAAACCCACAATGACAAATTGGCATTAAGACTAGTGGTTCCCAATATTGATAATCCAAGGTATAACAGTGATATTCAGGTAATCAATGATATTCTAAGTTTAATCAATTCCACTTCAATACTCAACATAAGGAACTCCTTTGAATTTGTAGAGTATAAAAGATCTGGTAGTCCCTAAGTGTTATGTATTGGTCTCATTAGATGTATCTACATACTTCACTTTTTACGAACTATTTTGTTACGTTGATCGGTGATTAAAAATCGGCGTGGGTGATTTATTTCTTAGTAATTCAAATTTACATGACTAAATCACACAGCGATTATGTACAGAATAATTCCGAGTCGATTGGAATGGATTTGACTAGAAAGGTCCCCGTCACCAGTCCTAGGCTTGTTCTGGAACGCCGTCCGGCCGCTTTCACTGATGATCAGTCACCCATCATCGCCCCACATACTAGAAAACCCATAGGCGTTGTACCGGGGTGGGGTATGGGTTTATTTCGTAACAATTTTCAGTCGTTTACAAAGATGACTAAACAACAGTTTTTATGCTTGTTAGAATTCAACTTGAACGATCATTGTGGGGCTTCTCGTTCAAAGATAAGTTTTATTTATAAATAGGTAGAGGAAACAGCCCTTAGAATCATTTATAAAAGTCCTGTAGAACATAACAGGGAGAGTATTTTTGAATTTGAAAATAATTAGAGAAAATAAACTAATTACAAATTGGCATATGAAATAACACTAGTTATTCATGTAAAATTTTAAATCATCATCAATAATTTTCTAAGGAGAGGCATCTCTCAGCAATTCAAAATTTCATCAATAAGATAACTTTTTTTTTAATTGATCATCGTGCATATTATTATTGCAATTTCTTATGTTTTTCAACCTCTTCATTTCTTCAAATTCTTGTAAAGCAATTTTCTATAACAAAACATGATACCCGCTTTCTGCGATTTCTCAAGTTTTTAAAAGACACCCCAAAATATCGAGAATCGTTTGCTTTCAAGGCAGAGCAGTCTTTAATAACCAAAATTCTTCAATTAGAGGTGTCCATTAAAAAAAATTGAAAAACACAGTAACTGTGAACCTAAAGTGTAGAAAATACTGAATAAAAAGGAAAAAAATTAAAAAGCAAAGTACTCTCTCTGAAAAAAATTGGTCGCAGTACAGTTCAAAAATCATCGTTTGTTTTGTGATAACCTATACAAATTTAAAAACATCTACGAAAAAATTTTGAATAACCATTTGTAAATTTTGGAGATGGCGTCATCCCACAATATTCCCAAAATAATATAAACTTTGACAACAATCGGTCCGGTAGTTTCGACGATTATCTGTTTAACAAAAATTGACATAAACGGCAGACCTCAGACGGCAGACAGACAGACGGAAACGAGGGATATATTTTTTCCTACTCTTGGGGTCATGAAATGTCGAGAAAACATAAGAGCAGTCAGTCGTCCGTTGGACTCGATTACAATTAGCTTACGTAAAAATTGGTTTAAGATTATAGCACTTTCCTCGTTTCGAAAGAACGCTACAACATATCCACATATTCCAAAAATTGTAAAATTTGGTTTTGCGAATTTTACATCTTAAGATAACCTTTCTACTTAAGTCAAAATATGCTATGCGTATGTTTCAGGTCATAAAATTTTATCATGAACTCATCAATATGTACACTCATAATAACAGTACTGTAATCCCAAATTTTTGAAAAAATTGGATGAGGCGTTGCTGATTTCACCAATAAAATATATTGCCTCATTCATCACTGAGTCACTGCGTATTAGCAATTCTAAAAAATATTAATCTACTGATAAACCTAAGCATACACTCATAAAATATTGCACATTTTAGATAGGTATGATTTATTGGCAAAATTTTGATATGACATCATCAATTTTTTGGGGGGGTGACAAATAGATACCTTTTAATTAACGATTTACCATGCAAAATGTTGGGAAAATTTTAGAGCAGTTAGTTTTGCAGTGTCAAATTTAAATTGTAGAATGTTGTTATACAATTTTTTTTCCAAAAGTTTGAATGTCTAACGTGAAAAAAAAATATTCATAAACCACAAGTATAGGTGTATGTTATTTTACAGAATTTAAATGCCAATCACTCTACCGACAACTCCTTATCGAATTTCGTGTTATGTACCTAAGCAAGAAGAATTAAATTAAAATTATTATATTAAAAAATTAATAATAATAAACAAAACGAAGGTGAATTTATAAACCACAAGTAGAAACGTATACTTTTTTATAAAATTGAAATCACAGTTAGTACGCAAAAATTAACACAGACACATGACAGACAGACATACAGACAGACAGATAGCTATTCGCCGGATGAACCCTATTGTAAAACACTTGGGAAGTAAACAACTTTTGTTCTTGGAGAAAGCTAGATAAATTAACGTCAATAAACTAACATCTGAAAGCATGATATAAAAGAGTTGAAAAAAAATTATTAGAGATCCCGTCTTATCCACTATCAACTATTTTATGTATTTTTTTGTCTGAACTCCAATATAGGTATCTAAACGTCCATAAAAACAAGCCAATCTTTTTGTTTACTTGACCCAATAACCAAACCGATAATCCTAAGAAACATATTTAAGGACAATGGTGAAAACCGCAAGTCTCTACATTTGTAGTTTCTTTCATGGTCAGATAACGCAGAAAAAAAAATAGCTGAGATACAATGGCTCTCAACCGAACATCTCGTAAAGGATAAAAACTGTGTTTTTTTTTATCCAGTTCTATTTATCGCATCCTCTGTCGTTCGATATCCTGTGACGTCATGCGCTAGCTGAAGGTTTTTGTAATTTTGTATTTTCAGTGCAGGATAATAATATGAATTATTATAGAGTTATCGACTTATTTTCTCTCTTTTTCCGATGTTTAATGCTATTCCAGTTTTGCCATATGTATGACAACTAACAAAAATTTGTGTAAATTGACAGTCCTCATGTACTAACAGTAATAAAATAATAATTTCACTCCATGTTAAAAAAGAATCTTGATCCACTGTCCCCTACTTCCAAAAAAAAATCATCAGTTAAAAAAGTGGATATATATGTATATTTTAATTATTTCCAAAAAAAATTACGTTATTTATAGATAAAACTGGTTGCACGTTCAAATACACTGTTGGTTATGTAATATATTTAACCTGACAAAAAAAGAAAAAGGTGTTTGACATGCGTATTTACATAGGTATAAATAACTAATTTCTTATTATTTTTACCACAATTTTGACCATAAAAATAACAGAACTTGTATTTTCACTTCTCGAACGTAAGTAAGCTAAGGAAGTATTGTAATAGAGTCCATCCGGCGGACGGCTACTTTCATGTTTTCTTGACAAAACAATTTTAGGAATATTTTGTAGATGCTAAAACGCTGAACAAAATTTATTTAAAATCATCCTCACCAACGTGATGACCTTAAAATTGTTTGTAGTAAATATTATTAACTTCTTTAAATATGATATAATAAACCACAGCGACACTTGTGGTTTGTGAATCCGTTTTACAAATTAAGTTTGAAATTAAATGGTTAATCCAAATTTATTTTTTTGATCACATCATGAATTTTGTAACAGAAAGAATCTCTTGAAACATATGCTTCCTTACCTTTATTTAACACCATACACATATAGTTATTTTAATTTAAAGTGGTTGTCATAAAAAATAAAATTCGAAAAATCAAATTTTATATTTTTCGGAAAAGCAGAATATACCGAAGCGTGGGAAATTCTGTCTAAATAACCTTAGACCAATATATTTTAGTTCAATATTTGAAATAAAATTTTAATTTTAGTTTAGTTTAGAATAAGAAAGCGTTGGCTTGAAAATGGTGCAATAGGAAAAAGATTTTAGTTTTAAAATTTTGGTGAACATTTGATTTTTCGGAAATTTTCCAAAGTAATGAAGAATACCTGTGGAATTTTATGCAAATTCTTCACGTTTACAGTAATGAATTTTTAATGTCTTCTACCTTTTATCTTGAAAACAAACGATAAAAACCTTATGAAGTCATACACAATGATAATAAATTGTCTGCTTTTAAGGGTTTATTCCACTGCATTTTAAATATAATTTTATTACATCTTTTAAAAAATCACACAGATTTAAAAAAATCGCGACATCATGCGGAGCGATATAACAACGGTAAAATGCAAAATAAAAATATTCGAAATTAATATTGGAACTAAACATTTTAAATTACAGTATAAAAAAATCAGAATAAAACCATTAAGTAAAAAATTGAAAACGGAAGTTATACAACTGGCAAAGATACATAGCCGTTTCAATATTAAAAGCAATAAACACTAATGAGCAATGAGTTTTGATATTGTGGAAATTTACTGACACTAGACCACGAAAATACTAAAAACTTGTTCCTAAATTATTTTCTTATCCAAACATAAACACGACACAACACAGCAGTATAAAAGTAGGTCAGTCACTCAGTTGTTTTATACCCCATCACCATGAAGTCTTTGTTACTGTTACCCGTTTTGTTCATTTTTAGTGAAAGTGTTAAACTTCGTAAGAACTTCAAGTGTTTTCTCTTTATGAAAATATTAAATTTGATCATTTATTTCAGCTTCAAATTTCATAAAATGTAACCGGAAAGATCCAGACTGGAAAAAATGTGTGTTTGAAGCTGCCGTTCACGCCACTCCACAATTTACTAGACCATTTAAAGAATTAAACATTCCAAGCATAGAACCCCTCCTGGTACCAGAAGTGACCATAAGTGCTGGGTCTAACGCTTTTCGGTTGACCCAAAATTACAAAAACTGCATGATTTATGGACTAACTAAAGTGGAGGCATCAGCTTTTGGGTAAGTAATTGTAGCCTTTCAGAATAGAAAAAAAACAAATCGTTTTCAGATTTGACTTTGATAAGAAAACTATACACCTTGAAGGAATCTTTCCTGAACTGCGATTAATCGGAACCTACACATTTGATGGTAAAATTCTTTTGTTGCCTGTCGTGGGTGAAGGACCTGGAGAAGTAACTTTCAGTGAGTCCCATATTAGAAGTTTAAATAATATTTAATTGATATTTTTAGAAAATGTGAAATCCAATATGACTCTATTCTATGAGGAATACAAGAAAAAAGAAAAAACTCACATTAAGGTGGTTTCCGCGACTCTGAAGTTGACTCCAAGTTTAATTCATTTTAAATATGAAAATCTCTTTAACGGGGATAAAAGACTGGGGGATAATATAAATCAGGTTATGAATGAGAATTGGGAGGCGCTGTATGAAGATATCGAGGAGAGCTTTAACCAAGTCGTAATAAAGATTTTTACGAGTTTAGTTAACAGTGTGTTTTCGAAGCTTTCAATAGAAGAAGCTTTCGATTAGTGATCTGTGAAATTTGTGTAACTAGGAAAAGAGACTTATTTTTGTTTAAAACAACGGTTAGAATGAAAATGAAGTCCATTTAGAATATGTTAGGTTAGTTTGTACGCTTATAAATAATTTAAAGCAAACTTGTACTTCCTGTTAGGAATTTAGATGGTATTTTTTAGTCATTTGTATAAATAGTAAATCTAGTCTCTCTATTTTAATAAATAAATATACATTTATTAATATGGTTTATTACATGTAACAACTGGCTCCTTTTTACTTCTTGACTTGAAGCTAATGAAGTTAAACTTCTAAAGAGTACTCATTTTGTTAAATTCTTAAAAATGAAAAAATGCAATGCAGAATTAGTGTAATTGAACAAACTTGCTTTCTAAAATTTATTAAGCCTATCCTACAACAGCAAAAAAAATTGTTTTGTGAAAATGGTTTATTCTGTTCTTTGCAATGCATTACAATGGGACTACGTAAACTGAGAGTGGGTGTATTCTCTCACCGCTTGTAAGCAAAAATATCTGGCCAAATACCCTGATTTACAAATTAGTAGTTATTAAAATGTTGCAAATTGAGATAATGGCAATTGTATCGCGTTTGGACGTGTTAAACTTTTGAAAATATCCTGATCTTTAATCCATGGAGCTGACATTTTTAAATTAATTATTTATTTAATAGATGTCTGCACGAAAACTTGCCGATGTATTTCATAATTATACATCATTTCATCTTAAATATCGGCTTCATTATCACAAAAAATGTTAATAATGCCAAATCCGTGTTCATCACGTCAACTCCATGGTGGCTTTTTTATGCGGTTAAACATTTTAAATTTTTTATATTGTAGTGACGGAATTTGAATTAAAATTTCGCGCTGAAAAAAATTTACATAGGCGCGAAATCACATTTGAATAATTTGAATTTGAGAAAAAAATGCAATAAAAAAAATCGTTAAAAATAGGCAACCATGTGCACGTTAGCGCTTTTGGGTAGTGTGTAGTTCTGCTTGAAATTTTAGTTAGAGGGTTGTTACAAGATGGCGGCTTGGTAGAGAGGTGAAAGCGTTATTGTTGGTTTGGTTCTGTGTGTGAAAGCATGGTCAAAAGACACGGTGAATTAGCTTAAGTTTAGTTGGTTTGGGTTGTTTTTCCCAACACGCGCAGCTAATTCTTGCTGCTTTCGAAGCGAAAAAATGTGAATTTTTAACCGACGCTAACACGTGTAGGTTTGATTCATTGTTTGTAATATCACAGTTCAGGTTAGGAGTTTAATCGTTCATTAGTTTTAACACAATTTAACAATCAGGAATTTGTTTAGATAAATACTTACTAGGAGCTTTCATGAAATTCACTCAGTCAGGATAACACCCTTTGTTTAACAAAGTTACGAATAACGTTTCTGGATGCTAATACTTAAGTGTTACATTATAACACTTCTTAATTCTTCACACAAGATTGCTCATAGTTCATCTACGACAGTTAAATTAACCTAACGTTGCCCCACTGTGGAAAAAGACCGTTGAAAAGTGCATCAAAATTCATAATATAATTCGTGGACTGACGGGGGAATTACAGATTTCTCTCCTTAGACAGTTATCATCGTTATCAACGTTGGATAATTACATCACCGAGACGCATTTTTCCTCGCAACGCAGGCCGCATTTTGTGTTTATTTATCATATGTTTTGTTTGGGATGAACAACACTTGGATCATGGCATAATGTAACATCATATAAATTCTTTGTTTGAATCATGTAAATTTGTTATCTTTACAATTTTCACCTCATAACAATATTTCTTTATCTCACAATTTTAACTTCAGTAATTTTCTTTGTTGTATAATTTAAATCGAACGTAAACTTTCATGCTATGCAGTTTCTAACCTCACGTAATATTTTATCTTCACAAGTTTATTTCACAGCAGATCTTTTGTTTTTATAAATCTTTGCTGGTTTTTTAGTAAATATTTTGTTGATGAATGTTTCCATCATACAAATTATCTGATATCCAATCTTAATCTCAAATAAGAATTATTTGTTGTTTAAAATTTCACATGATTGTATGGCGAATTTAAATGTTGCTTATTGCTCTTTTTGAAACTCTGACAACTTGTTCAGTTCAGAGTTATAAGAATTGAACATATAAATGGAATTGAGGTTAAATAAGACAGTAAGACTTGGCAGAAGCGGAGGACGCGGTTCCTAGTCGGGCTGGCGGGATTTGTCCCGCCATCTGCACAAAAGATGCAGGTTAGAATAGAATTCAGGGGCGGTCAAGATGAATTAAGACTGATAGCCGTGGTAAAAATACGGTATGATAAAATATTTCATTTTTATAATATGAAATGGATTTACTATACTGTCAATTCTAATTTAAAGTTTATTCATCAATCAAGCACAAAGGTAAGCGTAAGAAATTTGTTTACAAAAAGTATTTAAACTTGCCCAATTACTTTATTAAATAGAAAATGCCATCTACTTCTACAGCCACCTCAGCATCCAGTCAAGATGCCAAGAAATTGGTAGGAGTGTAAGGAAAACCCCTTCCCAGACAAGCCAGACAGATAGTTGCCAATGTACTACAATTCTATAAAAATGAGGCAAGTAATGGAATAACTATTCCTATCAAAAAAATATAAAACGAACTTCGTCGGCCACTGGAGTGTCTGAAAAGTTGTATCGAGTAATTTTAAAAGATATCCAAAAAATTGAAAAAACAGGAGAAATTGCATCATTTAACACTCCACCAAAAAAACGACTTGCGCTGTACAGTAACTCTGTGATTGAAGAAGCTTTCAGAGACATAGTGCATAATTTTTACATTATTGAGAAAAGAAGACTTTTTCTAAGAAGCATTATGGCAAAGATAAGAGAGAAATTATTTGGTAGGCACGAAAGCTAAATAAAAAAAAAAGATGAATTATATTGAGCTATAGCAATACACACATTATTAATATTATTATTGTTATTAGAAACGGCCGTTTTTCTGTAGCAGTTGCGGTAATTTTTCCTGCAATAAGTTATTATGTAATCTATAAAAATATAAGTGAAATGCTTTAGAAAAGCAGCAACAGACAACGGCAAATTTCGGAATTTGTAATTTTCAAGGAAAACGGCATAGAGGGTCGCAAGTTCCGCACATTCGACTGAGTCAGCTGCGGAGTTGAACTCGATCGAGAATTAGCCTTGTTTACCATTGAGAAGATGTTTAAAAAAAAACTAATCCACCGAATATATGAATATGTAATAACTAGGACCACTAAAAATATTCCTTAAATCGAAATTTTTTATGGTCTCGGTTATTTGGAGCATGCGACATTATTTGTTTGCGTAGAACTCACCAAAAGTATTGAAAGCTTCGTTACTTAAAGCTGCTTACCCGAAAAATGCGTAGAACTTGGCATGGGGAGCCAATAATAAAACTCAAATTTTATAGAAAACTCTCCCAATTTTTCGACAATAATTATGTTCCAGAGCTTTTTTTTAAACTAATTCTTCATCTAAACCTGTTTTTCTTGCTGAAAACTTACCGGTGCTACTGCTGACATTTTTTTAGCAATTAACTTGTTCCACAACTTTTTTTTTAAATTTTTAATTAAGTGTAAACATGTAGATTTCTATGGAAAAATTTTACCTTTTAACCAGAAAACCGATTGTTTTGAAATTTTGCATATACGTTTGTATGGTTATTTTGATCATGGTAAACCCTAATCCTAGTCCTCTATGTGTGGTTTCATTAAGTGTCCATATTTGAAATTATACGTATGCGGGTTATTATTACATACTTTAATTTAATTATTACATAATAATACATGGATTAAAATTTATTTATTATTCCCACTAGAAAGTAAATGACGTCATGGTAAAAATGTATTAACGGATCAATAAATGATTAGTGACTGAATAAAAAAATTTCAAAAGTCTAAGAATATGTCAAAATGAGCTTATACCAGCTTTGCAGAATTAAGTCTAGATGTTATGTAGACGCTATCGTTTAAAAAAGTTCAATGAACCATGACTCTAGAAGTGTTTTTTTAATAATTTTCTATGAATGTAAAATAGCAAGTTAACCTTGGCTGCAACATAAAAAATTTCCCAAACTGCCTTCTTATAAATAAATAAATGAATGCACCTTCAGTTGATTCCCTTCCTCACTACGATGCAGTTACTAATTTTATCTGTTTTGTTCATTTTCGGTGCAAGCATCAAACTTCGTAAGTTAGATTTTGTGTCCTAAAATTTTGATTTCTTCGCCTTTTTCAGCTCAAAATTTTCTAAAATGTAACCGAAGCGACCCAGACTGGAAAAAATGTGTGTTTGAAGCTGCAGTTCACGCCGCCCCACAGTTCACTAAACCGTTTCCTGAATTAAATGCTCCCAATATGGATCCTTATTTCATAATAGAACTGAGCATCAGTGCTGGATCTAAGACTATCCAGATGGACCAAAACTTCACAAATGTTAAGATCTACGGCTTGAGTAGAGTAGAAGTTATAGATTTCGCGTAAGTGCGATGCAATTTCTGGTAACGAAATTAAGCAACGAATTTTCAGGTTTGATTTTGGAGCGAAAACTATATACCTTGAAGGAATTTTTCCAGAAATAAAGATGACTGGAATGTATAAATTTAATGGTAAAGTTTTTCTTCTTCCAATTTATGGTGAAGGGCCTGGACAGGTAATATTCAGTAAGTAAATCATCACAAATGAAACATTTTCCTTCACTACTGGATTTAGGAAATCTAAAAGCTAATATGACTGCGCACTATGAGGAAAAGAAGAAAAACGGAAAAACGTATATTAAGGTGGTTTCCGCGCCACTGAAGATGATTCCAGGTTTGATTCAATTTCAGCACGACAACCTGTTCGACGGTGATAAAACTTTGGGTGATAATATAAATCAGGTTATGAATGACAACTGGCAAGCTGTATATAAAGATATTGAAGACGGTTACACCCAAGTCGTTCAGAAAATTACTGTTAACTTGTTTAATAATTTCTTTTCGAAACTCTCGTTAGAGGAAGCCTTTGATTAATCGTTTAATAGATTAGAATGTATGTAAGGGTTGACGTTGTATATGAACGCATGAAAATCGCACATATATAATTTCCCAAAATGATAAAAAACTGACTTATGTTTAGGATAATATGTTTGTATAACATTCCCTGTCCAAAGCAAAGTAATAGAAAATAAAAGCCTGGTGTTGGTGTTTATTCATAGTACTACACAAGTGTGTTCGTTTAATTTTTTTAGTTAAAGTACCGTACGCAACAAGTCATCAGTTCCTTACCAAATGTGTAGTTTTAAAAATGCGCATTTGTTTCAAGGGTCAACACCAACCTATAATACATGTTTAACATAAATCAGTCACTTCAAGTTAGTGTTGAGAGCACGTGCTGTGATGGTCAAAATTTCATTCCCTTGAGGGAAAATATTGTAATTTTTTAATGATTGTTTTTGATAAGTTTAATTTAAATTTTTATATTACGGTAATTGTATGAAAACCAATTAAAACTGTGTCTACTTAGTTCTAATAGAAAGTTATTTTCCGTTTTACACGAAATTGACCAGTTCCTTGTCTTTGCACCCTTGATGATAAAAGTGATTTATTTGCGTTTGGATTTTAATATTGAAGAAGATTTTAGCTTATTTTGTTGTTTTAATTGCTTATAAAACTACGACTTTTAACATTAATATGAACAATGAAACGCCTAATGATAACGTTGCATTGTTTCTGGAATCTCCTAAAAATTAGATAAGATATTCCTGAAAGAATAAATATTAATTTTTTTATCATTTAGCAGAAATATGTATATTAAAGAATTTCTAAAATATATATAATTATTTTATGGTTCCTGTAATTGTGACTGACGAATAAATACTTAGTAACATACGATAAAATCAAACTTACTTTTAAAACAACATTTCTATAGGGTGTTTAAACGATCATATGGTGAAAGACTGAATTATTGAAAAATTTCTAACGTAACCTGATAAAATAGTTCTAGGAAACTTTGTAAGTAAACAAAGGTAGAACGCTAAAAGAGAACTAACTTCTTATTTACTGAGTACAATGAAAACATGTGTTAAAATTAGGTTACGTTTAATTTAGTTTATGATGTCACGAAAGAGCAATCGTTTAAATAAAAATAAACTGCATTCGACGCCACGGTCCCCCCCAACGAGTGTAATTAGTGTAAGACCATTCAATTAGCGATTTTCTAATCTGAAATATTGTGAACTGGACATGACGGACAGACGGACAAACAGACGGAAACGGAAGATCTAATTCTTCGTACTCTAGGGGTCATGAAAGGTCGAGAAAACATAAAAGTAGAGAGTCAGCCGACGGACTCGTTACAATAGTTCGTTCGCTTACGCTCGGGAAGTAAAAAGAGGATTGTAATATTTTCTTTCAGGTTTAATAATTTCTTAGAGGTTGAATTTGAACATTTGGTCTCGAAGTGCGGTAAGCGTTTTCCGTCACCATCTTAATTTGATTTTGGTCGCATTCAATATGTGCATGTTGTGTTTATTTTGTACGTGCTTTGTATATGATATGGGGTCACCTTCGATCCACGACGATGAATTATTATTTAACAATATTCTTATGTTTTAAAATCCTTGATAAATTGTTGTGTAATTAAGTGTTTCAATTTTATTGACACACGGTTTCTGGTAAAAGCTGACAGTTTTATCTCATGCCGTTTCGCTTAATAGATTTTAAATCGTAAATTTCATAGCGAGACTCGCGTCCACCTGAAACGCAGTTTGGTAATGGCTGACTGCTTTGCGAAGACGAGGTAGAGCGTATAACATGCGGCAGTTTTTTTAAGCACATAGATGTGTCTTTATACTTGTCAACATAGTAAAATTGACCAAGTAAGTTTACCGAGCGACTTGCTACTTTTATATTTTTTCGACGTTTCATGACCCTGCCTCTCGTCTATCTGTCGTCTACGTGTCCAGAATGTTTTTACGTTGAATTTTCAAAAATAAACGTACATATATATGTTTTCACCTACTGTCACTATGTGCCGTAACTGTAATTTATACAGAAATCAATTTGACCTGTTCGACAGCAGGATCCGCCAAATTAAAAGTTTGCGTTTATAATATTGAATTAGATTTTCTCTCTTTATTTGTAATTCTTCCCCATTCTTATAAATGGTTTATCTGTTAGTATGGTGAATAATAACTATAATAACAATAAATTGCAAGGGATTGTGCAATTTGCACAAGTACGGACACTATAAGATATATTTAAACCGATTCTACGACAACTGGTCGCAAACAATTGATCGCGCGACAATTGATCGCAAGCAACTCGTCGCAGCACAATTGGTCGCACGCGACAATTGATCGCGGCGACAATTGATCGCAGCGACAATTGATTGCACGTAAATTGATCGCAGCGACAATAGATCGTACGTAAATTTATCGCAGCGTCAATTGATCGCAAGGTAAAATTCATCGGGAACTATTTTCTTTTATTAAAACTAAATATTTTGTATTCTGAATTTTAAGTTGCAATAAATTTAGCAACCAGGTAAGGTGTAAATATCGAATTAAAAACAATTTGAATATAGATAAGTGACGAAGTTTGTAGTTGCACTTTAAAAATTAAAAAATACGAGCGTAAACACCTTGTTACATAAGATTTTTTATTAATAAATTGTCATTTTGGTTATTTTTTTTTAAGAGATTGTTTCTATTTATCTCGTTTCTTATTTTACCTATTATATTATAGGAACTAGCTTCATTATAATAAGTACTCAACATAAAAACAAGTGTTTATTGTTCTTAACTAGATTACAGTTATTTAAAAAATCATATTTTTAACAACCTTTAAATTTTAACACATTTTGATACAGAATAAGCGAATATAAATTCCACTGGACGGATATATAATACTTATTTTAATACCTTGTAAATTGCAACGGATCTTTTACAGGGTTTGAGAAAGGTTTACGTGTATTGTAAATATGTATATATTGCAAAAGCTTTTGTTAGAGCGTCAAGAATAATTTTGTGTTACCGGGAAATCTAAGAAATGTAGGTACTTATGCAACTAAAAACTTATTTTTTAATTATTATTATGTGACTAGTATTGTACTGAAGAAAAATTCAGTTGTACCATATGTGGGTGTAAAAAATACATATACAGGGTTAGTCACGAGAAAATTATTTCTGAAAATTATTTTTACGCAACCCAAAATACGAATACCATGTACCACTTGATACTAACAGAATTTAAAATGAAATGCTTAATTCATGATTGCTTTGAGTTTGGCAATGTCATTTTGACAATTCTGGAAAAGGAGGTTACGCGAGTGTCCATGGTGGTACCGCAGCCAATTGGAGATCTCCGCTGGCGCCGCTAATAAGTTTGTCAGGGCTTGCTTCGAGTGCCTCTTGATCTTTTGCAACCGATTAATGACGAGAAAATTATTTCTAAAAATTCCTTTTACGCAGCAAATTTATTAAAAAATATAGGTATATATTTAATTTTTTAAACTAACAAACGTAATGAAAATAATACTTTTTCACTTAAAACTGTAACGAGAGTTTTTTCACGATTTATCTATAACTTTTTAATTTGACAGTTGTAATAATTTTAAAACCATTTTTTATTAAAGAAAAATGACGTCTAACACGTTTTGAAAGCTATTTTTTTCACTCGTTTAATTGACAAACTTTAAACTTGTGAGAAGAAAAGCTTGAATCACTTACTTGAGCGTCTAATCAATAAGACGAATAATCCAAATGAACATTACAGTAGCATACCGAGAGATGTGTCAGCATTAAAAAAAATATTTTACAATATTTTCACTTTTTTGCACTTTGGTTTAGTCGGAAATGAGCCTAATAGTTACCGTTTTTATGGAACTCGTATGTATTTATTTTGACACTTTTTTTAGAAATAATGAAATTTTTGAGAATATAGCACATTAATTTATTTTCCTCATTCTTAACAATTACTTATTTCTCTATAAACGCTATCATTTTTCGCCTGCGATCAATTGTCGCATGCGACCAGTTGTACTTGCGACGAATTGTGTTGCGATCAATTGTGACTGCGACCAGTTGTCGTTGCGACCAGTTGTCGCTGCGACCAATTGACGCTGCGATCAGTTGTTTGCGATCAATTGTCGCGCGACGAATTGTGCACGACGAATTGACGCGGTACCATTTAAACCAGCTAACCAACGGGAAAAATGGCCTCTCAGCAGTAATAACAAGCTCTAATTAGAAATGCTTATTTATACATTGGAAGAATGTCACGTAGAAATTTCTTTGATTTGAATTAGTTTGTCGCCTCAAAACAGGGGATTATTATTAAGTAAGCCGCAGTCGAACAATATGTTCTGAATATTATTATTATTATTATTATTATTATCATGAAATAAAGACGGGCGAATTGTCAGAGGGGTGACTCGTTCTTAATTTGATCAATAAAAAATTTGTTATGATCTCATAAACATTGATAAGACACAGCGAGAAAAAATGAAAGTTTCTATTTGGCAGCGAACGCGGGACCGCGGGACCACGTTTCGAGCTGCTACCCTATGAGCCACATGAATATATTATTGTATAACATTTAAATCATATAAACATAAAATTCTTTCAAATGGCGTCATCTAATTGTTAGTGGCAATGATTAGCCAAATTTTTGGCTATCGTTTAACCATCTAGAGGATATTTCTAATATACATATTTTATAGAGGCTACCACAAAACATATTCATAAACCACAAGTACAGGGGTATATTGCTGCACAAAATTTAAATAGCCTTTATTACGCGATATGTTGAGCAGACGTCATCAAATTATTTGTGGAAATGACCAGATAATTTATGGCTCGCGTTTTGGCATCTACATAATATTCCCAACATATATATAAAATTTGACAAAAATCAATCTGGTAGTTTCGGTCTAATTGAAATCGACACAGACGACAGACACCGACAGACAAACGACAGACAGACGGAAACGGGAGACTTATTTTTTTGCACAATAGTTCCATGTTTCAGTCGCCCGATGGACTCTGTTACAATATAGTAGAATTCTTTTAATTTTGGCAAAGTGTTGTAAAACGATATGTTTCTGTCTTCGTCCGACACACTATACTTGCGAAGGTATTTGTTTCCGCCCCTGCAATGCTAAGAAGTGCGGGCATTCTTTACCTACGAAAATATAGTGTGTTAGACTAAGAGAGAAACAGAAACCAACCAGATATCATAATTGGTACAGTTTTACAACACCTTGCCAAAATTATAAGAATTTTACTCTACTTCCTTAGAAGTTCAGGAAGTACAAAAAGAAGCATGATTTTAACATTTATACAGGGTGACTAAATTAACTAAATTTACAAACTGTTACTTGTTTTATATGTTTCAAAGAGCAACCCTGCATTTGTTACCATATTCTAGCTTGTTTTAGTTTTATATCATATCAATTGTATTGACATCTATTTTAATGGAGTTTTTGGAATTATTGTTAGAGTAAACTCCAATAAATCTAATATCAAAAGAAACCCTGCTTAGAGCCAAAATCGAAAATGTTATAAAATGACCTTTTTTAATCACTCTGTATAAACAAATTTAAACCTTGTTCAATTTTTACATACACCGTATGAAAGAGTAAGGTGTTTTTAAAATTTTGTGCCAAATTTCAGACATCGATTTTCAAAAATTGAAGTGTTAATTTTGAAATTGATGTAACCGCATTAACTGAACAAAACATTTGTATCGACATCGTTATTTTTTGCTTGTCACAAAGAATTTAAATCGTTAAAATTATATAGCTGCTCTATTAATAAAAATACTAATTTATGGTGTAAATTTTAACAAAAATATCATTCTAGTAAATTTAAAAATAATTTGAAATAAATAGTAGCTCTAAAAATGAATTCTACTCAACTGTGTGAAAACACAAAAAATCATATTGTGCTGCCCTTTTACAGTATTTTTGAATGACGTTATTCGGTAAAACGGGATATGATAGGAAAGAAACTTTTAAACAGGGGGTAACAAGGCGAAATTTATTTTTAGTACCAACGGCAATATGTAAACGAAAATAAATAACAAAACTACAAAAACGTCAAATTATAAAAAGTTGAAGGTAGTACCGAAGAAAAAATAACATTACTTTTTATAGTAAAACTCGCACAGAAATTTAGGAAGAACAACTCGGATTTTAACTACATTTATAAAATATTTTGAAAAAAATTTAAATAAGTATATTCAGATTTTTTTCATTTTATTTAATACAAAGCTTTCTGGAGACATTCGGTTTATTATAAATTTATTAATTAAGACGAGTAACGAGTAACAACTTTTTCCTCAAAATAAAATAATAACTGGAGACCTAGATTTACCTTCAAACACATAATTTGAATGTGTTGGTTCTAAATTCGTTTTAACATCATTTCACAGTTAACAAAACTTCAAACAGGATTTTATCCATTCCAAAAATCGTACATAAAAATGTAGACAGGAAGTCAAGGTAAAATATTTTTATATTTTACCTTAATTATGGGATAATCGAGTATTTGAATTTTGCATTTTATTTATTTGTTGAAAAAATTCTGTGAACTACAAAATTAAGCTTCCTGATCATAAGTCATGTTTAAAAATGTTTCAATAAATAGGGTATTCAAAATTGTACTTTTCTCTTTAATCTTAAAAGTATTCTTGGTCTTGATCCTCAAACATCTGCAGATCTCTGAAAACTGTTTGTACTCGTTCGATCAATTCATCTTTAAAATTCCACACTCTTGTATCTAAAACATTATTCACGGTCATGGAATTACAGTTACCAATTTCGGCCACACAGTCAGCTCGATAGTGTTGAAGTTGTGCCCACTCAGTATTAATTTCTGTCGAAGAACAGGCACCCAAACAAGCAAAAGGGTAGTGGTTATGCAGTGCTTTCACAATCCCCAAGTCGTGAAAACCTTTAACAAAGTACCCAGGTTTTGTATAATTCTGGGCCCTATACACATGCTGCAACATATGCATGTATCTAGGAATATCTTGAAAATATTTATGTCGATGCAAATGAGTATCCAAAAAGTAAACATTCCGAGCCACATAAGACGATTTTCTCGGTGTTTGTTCCTGCAGAGTTCGCATCAACTCAATCCATGTGTTTCGAACTGGAACAATCACTTCATCAATATCCAAGAGAACAGCAAATTTGAATTCTTCTATGTGCTTGTAGAGACAATCGTTGTAGGGAATAACCTCTTGTAGGCGCCTTTTTATCATTTTCTCGTGAAGGTACATACTTTGAAGAAATGGTGAATTAGAAACATCACCCACTAGAGTTAAAGGCGTAACTTCTATTCTTCCCAACCCTGAGTAATAATCCAGAATTTGTTTACTATTAGCGTCAACACTGAATTCATAAAACTGAATTTTTTCAGCCCCTGAAAAGAAACTTCAATCCTTAGTACCACTAGTACCTCCACACTCACCTAAAATGTTTAAAAGCTCGATCCACTCAGCTAACCGCGCACTCTTGTCTTCAAACGGAAAAGACAACCCTTTAACACAAACAACAAAGTTCTTCTTTGTGCTCACTCTGGTTGAAAAAATCTTCACGTTGTTGGTCGCGTTGTCGCACGGATCTCCAACCAGAGACACCGACGTGGGTACTCTTGTATCGGTGAGAGCACACGTGATGAGGTACGGATGGTCGAAATTGTTCGTGTCAGCGCCCCAGTGGGCTAGAAACATCCACAGTAGTGGTTCCGTTGGTACTATTACAGGGGCCTGTTGATTGTCGTACCACAATTGGCAAAAAAATTCGTCTTGAGGGTGCAGCTGGCTGTAAGTACCTATAATTCTAATGACCGAACCCTCGCGGCGGTCTAAATATGCGTTGAACAGGTTAAAGTTACCATTGTCAGTTTTTTGGGTTTGCCAGTAGTTGTTTTTGATTCTGATGTCAAAGAGTTGAGGGAAATAAGCGCACGTTTCGTTGAGTTTTGTGGGTTTTTTTGAGGCGGTGAAGTAGATGTCTGGGATGTTTCCGGTGGTGTTTGTTGGTGAGAAGGCGTAATGGGTTTTCCATGTCCAGGGAGAGATATGTTTGAGTGATGATTCGGAATTGAGGAAGAGTTGGTAACTTATAACCATAATTACTACAACTGAGAGTAAAAAAATGAAATGAAGTTTCCGTGCCATGACCAGGTTAAAAAATCTAAGACAAACTAAAAAAGGAAAAAAAAATATGAATAATCAATAAACTTTGTATACTTACTACAACCTTTAATGAGTCAACGTTGCATTCATTTTGTTTCACATGTTAAAAAATAGTGTGTGTTAGTCTACTATTGCGGTCGGTATGATACATCTTCGTCCTTTAACTTTGTTATCTAAATCCTCTTATCAGATGATGCTTCTAAAGCTTTTAATGAGTGGATAAACTAATCGAGGAGACTGTAATAACCAAGCAGTCATCATTTGATCCCACATATTCGGGTTCGTTCCATAATGTTTACTGAGTAGATCGAGTAGATAACAATTATTAGAATGGTGACATCTAATTTTAATTAATCGTTATCACTTCTATGACACTAGTTCGAATTATAAGAATTTTATAGTTTTTCAGATGTTGCATAATTTGTGGATGTAAGAACACGGTATGTATTATTTTGCCAAAAGAACAAAAAAGACTGGATTTTGTAGTCTTTGTTAAAACTGTCACTTAAATGCACGAGATTCCTGAAGAAAAGCGTGAATTACAAAAAGAGGACTTTAAAGGTTATCTCAAAAATGAAAAGTAGGTTCTGTTGCATTGAGCTAAGATCACAGGCAGTCTACAAACAATTGGATGAAAAGACAATTTGCAAATCGGTTTTCAGCCACTACCGAGTATACGTCGTAGTATATTACCACAAATTATGTACTAATAATAATAATAACACAGATCACCTCATCCTAATTTATTTAATTAAAACCTAACTGATTTTATTTTAAAATTTTGTTATAGATAACAGAATAAAAAATGACAGTACCACATAATTTAACAGTCTAAAAAATATTTCTCAGTACCAATCGCCATTACATCATTCACATCTACTGCATTTCTCTGTAATATTTCATTTCGAACTAATCCAAACCCACTTCGCCTAAAGTTCTTTGAACATTCATTATCAATTTGTTCTTAAATTGCCAGACTCTGTTATCCAACACACTGTCTGCTTTCATTGTGTCACAGTCACCTACACCAAAAGTACAATTCACATGATAGTGCTGAAGCTGGGTCAAAGTAGAGTTCATCGTTTTTGTGACACAATTTTGAAAACAATTAATCGGCAAATGATTATGCAAAGTTATCACTTTTTCAGTACGGTGAAACCCCTTTGCATGGGAAACCGACTTGCTGTCAGTTCTTGCCCTATAGACATCTTGGAGCATGTACTTGTGTTTAGGAATATCACTAAACCAATCGTGTTCGTGTAAGTAAGAATCGAAGAAGTAGACGTTGCGTGCCATGAAAGAAGTAGTACTAGGGTACCGTTTTTGTAAACTTCTTATGAGTTCCATCCATGTGGCTTGTAGTGGTACTATCATTTCATCAACATCAAGAAGGACGACGTACTCAAATTGGTGTAAGTGTTTATAGAGACAATCGTTATAAGAAACGACTTCTTGGAGACGTCTGTGCGAAACCATGTATTCAAGAAAATGTCCTTGCAGGAAAGGCTGGTTGGAGAAATCTCCAACTAGAGAGAAAGGGGTTACCTCCGTCAAACCCTTCTTGACGTAATAGTCAAGAATTTTTTTAATATTCGGGTGGACACTGTACTTATAAAAATGAATCTTTTCGGCACCTGAAAACAATTATTCTATGTCAGAAATACATACTCTACGTGAAGACACATACCTAAAAGACTAATCAGTTCAATCCATTCCACCAAGCGAGTACTTTTATCTACAAACGGAAAAAATAAACCCTTCACACAAACAACACATGTCTTCTTTTTTTCAACGTTTTTGTGGAAAATCTTCAAATTGTTAGAAGCGTTACCACATGGTTGCTCTACTAAAGATACAGAAACCGGGTAGTGATAGTTATCAAGAACTACAGAACAGGTTATCAAGTACGGGTGCTTGAAATAACCGTTATCAACACCCCACTTTGAACGAAACATCAAAGAAGGTACTTCACTTGATACTACTGTGGGTCCACTGTTATTGTTGTACCAGAACTGGCAGTAAAAGGTTTCTTGAGTTTTGGATACGTCATACGTGGCTACTATTCGTATTAAACTACCTTTCCTCAGGTCTAAGTACGCGTTTAATAAATGGAAAATACCATTAGTGGTCTTCTGCAGCTGCCAGGTGTTGTTTCTAAATTGCAAATCAAATAAATCTGGGAATCTGGCACAAGTTTGATTAAAACCCCAAGGTACTTTTAATTTCTCGTTCAAGTAAATGTCTGCTAGATTTCCCGTGTTGTTAATACTATGGTATTCTTGATATTCCGGCTCAGAGTTCCAAGAGGTTACAACAATTTTTTGTGGGTTCTGAACAAAATCTTGAAGTATGTCCTGTTTTACCTTCTCTGAATGCTTTAGAAGCAACTTAGTGTATATCAACAGATATATCAGTATTAATAGTGCCAGTAGCGACAAACACAATTTTTTTATCTTCAGTTTCTTCAAAACAAAACCAGCGATGTGGTAGATGCTGAATAGCAGAATTCGTTTTATTGGTGAGTAGGTGTACAGGTTATCCATTTATACAACACCAAGTGTAGCCAGCCACAAAGGAAAAAACGAAGCAAGCAGTTGGATATCAAGAACGTAAACGAGTGACTCGGGCCATGCTATACCCACAAACTCTCGATACATACGTGTATAATTTTAACATTCCACCAAAAAATTTAAAGTTGTCACAGTTGTCAGACTGACAATACGAATAAATTGCAAGTTCGATCCCAGATACCATGTCTGTTTCAAGGTAATTAGTTTGTTTTACTCGTATATCACTTTTGATAAGGTAGGTTAAGATCTCAAGAACCATAGGTGTCCCACTATTAGATAGACAATGAGTTCCTAGAAGGGATTACATATTTTTGTCTTCAGGATCTTTAGGAGTTTCGTCAAACTTGAGAATGTAAGTGGTATAGTGAGTGACTAGTAACTTACTGATATTGATATGTCTTCATCCGGTTGCAGAAAGACGTCATTTGAATCGCTAGCAGAAACCCACTTGGGGCTGTGCTACCTTTAGAGGTCAAAGAATTTCTAACTATTCAACTTCAGGTAAGCAAGGAAGTACACAACAACAAGGGGACTTTAGTATTCAACCCACGTGACTACGTGTGATAGTCACGGAACACGGTTTCCAATCTCGGGAAATCGTTTATTGCTAATACCTTATCAGTGGATGGGCGGATTCCATCAGACGCTTTGGTATATAGTTTACTTCAGCTTGTCCGAGAAGTACTTCGCGGAGTTCAGTTCTTTTTAGTTTTTTCAAATAAAACTTTTAGGTGACAAAGGTTCATCTGGGGTTGAAAAAAGACACACCAAGATATCGTCTACGTAAACGAAACTGAAGTTGAGATCTCCAAACACGGTAGTTAAGTGTCCCTAAAAGGTATGAGGTATATAACTCAAATGGTGTTTCGTTGTCTTTGATATGTCCTTGTCGGTTACGAGAATTTGGTGGTATGCGTGCATTAGGTCAGTGGTGGAGAAAAAGATCTTCTCTTCTAGTCTATTTGCGAAGTCTAGAATGTGCCGATTTGGTATTAATCCGGGGTTGTCACTCGGTAGTTTTTGCAGGTACAGCATTCTCCAGGAGCTTTTTTGGGGACCAGATGCAGTAAACTAGCCCAAGGGCTGCTGGAGGCTCAGGTGAGGTCAACGCAGGTCAGGTCAGATCAGCGCAAACCCCTGAAGAAATAAGGGAGATAATCCAAAAATAATGACCTGAAAAAGCATATGTAAGAAAGATCGATAAGACTGAAAAGTGGAGGTAGACGAAGAAAACTTTAGCGACCACAACAGTATCGTGTTTGAACTTATACTCCGACAAAAAAAAAGCAAAACTTACTGAAAACGGTAGAACGAATATCGGAAAATTAACTAACAGGGTAGGGGAAATAGAAAAAACGAATACCTTTACATAGAATTTTAGGAAAGAATTAGAAAAAAACTAAATATGTAAGTATGTACACCAACATGGATTCCGGAAAAAGAGATCGACGGTAGATGGGATACGAACGGTGAAGGAGATAGTGTGTAGAAAAAATAAACCTCCCAGAGACAGAAAGGTGGTGGTAATAGTAGCGCTAGATATCATTAATACGACCGATTGGCGCATAACCCTAGAAGAACTGGAAAAGAAAAAAGTGCAACTACACCCATTCGAATAATACAAAGATACCTAGAAGACAGGTGGATAGAAACAGAGTACCGTATGTTCCAAATGTCATGTGGCGTACTGCACGGTTCCGTTATGAGGCCGTAAGACAAAGACCATGATGCTAAACTTGGAGGAGGGTGGACCTCCTGTGAAGACCGGCGAAGAGATCCGCTATCTAGGCGTCACAATCGATAAGGACATGAAAAGAAGCCACTAAAAGAACTGACAAGATGGTCAATGTTCTAAAAAGAGTAATGTCAAACATAGGAGGGCCGAAGTCGTCGGTCAGAAAATTTACGACGGCACTCTCTATTGCTGTATGGATGCAAGAGATGGCAGGAAACACTTAGATGGGGTTGCTACAGAAATCTCCTGGACAAGATAAACCGAAAGATACTCATTACTCATTATGATAACCAGTGATTATCGTACAATCTCTACGAGCGTTCTACTTGTGATAGCCATGTCAATAGACTTGAAAGTGCAGAAAAGATGTCAAACGTATGGGATAAAGCGGATGGTAAAACAAAGGCATCGAGCAAAACACTAATTCCAGATCTTCAGAAATGGATAAACAGGAACACGGCGAGACAAACTAATACGTGGCGCAGATGTTTTGCGAAACAGAGACAGCGTCTCGGCAAGAGTGAAACAAGCGAATTCTGGTAAGTGTATGGGAAAGACGATACAGCAGAGCACACATTCTTTGCTTCTGCAAGAACCTCGTCGGAATAATGCTGGAAAGCAAGGAAAAATGAACTGAAATAGAAAACTTTATACGAAAGATAATTGATGCCATGACTAAATACGAGAAAGAGGTCCCAGATAACTAAAAAAAGGAGAAATTGGCGACCAGCAACCCCCCTGAAGTAACAGGTCAGGTCAGGTAAGGTTAGGTTACCAGTCGCTTGCAGTTTTTCTGGTCTAATCAATCTTCTAGGTTTCCGCGATTGGTGGACCAGTTCTAAAAATGTGATGTATAACCGGGTTAGATGTGTTACCACCTGAAGCCAGTGTTCTTGTTAAGCGCAAGGCTGTTGACACTTTCGTGCACCCTCTATCTAAATGTGTCTTGACAATAATAATATGAAGTTATTCTATCGCCGGAACGTCTTCTTTCCCACAATGTGGATTTTCTTAGTTTTGGCCATATTGTGGTTAACCAATCGCCAACTTAATATGCCTCCGCGGTCTTGGTACGGCCGTCACAATATGGGTCGTAAATTGATTCGGCTAACCTGAAAAATTCAGGGCTTAACTAACATCATCTACCATCGGATTTTGAAACTAAATATTTTTATATTAATTGGAAACGGACCAAGACTTTTATTTTAAGTTTTCTGAAAAAAAATCTTGCTGAAATTTTATTCACACTGTCCATTAGTATGAATACTTTAAATCCAATGCAGAATATTTTATAAAGTGATGCTAGGCATATTACCAAAATGTGTCTTCAAAATAAAAAGGTACCTTCGACTAATACCCACTCTGTGACTCCCGATTAATATTAAATAACTCTGGGAGCAGTACATTTTAAATTTGTAAGTACAATATTAATTAAATCATAGAATTCTTTTGACTGTAAAATACTGGTGAAGAGCTTCATATTCCTGACACTGACTCTATTTTTCAAGACAAAAATAACTCAAAATTTATTCAAGTTGATTTAATTAACCAAAGAGAAGTAGATGATCTAAGATATTATTATAAAGTTCTAAATTTAAATAATTTCGGAGCCTTCCAAGGTCGGAGTCAATATATGATCGCTTTCCAGGTTGGGAGCGTGTTAATGCAGTTTTTGGGCTCAACGTTTCGCACACTTTCGTAAGTGGTTATTATCTATCAAATATTTGGAAACCCACACAGATGCAATTGTTCGTTTATCTCCCCCCACTCCGCCTGGAGCCGGCCAATTAGCTTCAACCACGACGGTTTCCCCCACCACGTCTCTATAAAAGGGTCACAATCACATTCTTCCCATCAGAAGAGTTTCGCCTCTGGTGTGGTTGACATACGATATTTATAAAACACAAATTATCATCTAAAGAAAAAAAATATGTAACGGCAACTTTAAATCTTACAATTTTCGACATGCAGACTTTGCCCTCTTATATGACATGTTACTAAACGTTGATTGGTCGTTTCTAAAAGACATTACGGACCCTAATAAGGCAACATTGCAGTTATATTCCCGACTAGATAAAATCTTTGAAGTTTGTGTTCCTATGACAAAGCGTTTCAATAAAAGACAATATCCGCCCTGGTTCACTGTAAATATAAAACAAATGCTAAAGCTAAAATGGAAATTTTGGTTGAAATATAAACGGTTTAGGGATCCTGCGGTATACTCCAAATTCAAGATTTTAAGATCACAAATCAAAATTGAAATAAAAAATGCATATAATGTATATTTAGAAAAAACTGAAAGTAATATACAGTCAGATCCTACACAATTCTGGTCCTTTGTTCACAGGTTGAGATCTCAAAATGTTATACCAGGAGTGATGACTTATGATTCAAAAGAGTTAAATGATCCGTTATCAATTGTCAACTCTTTCGCAAAGTTTTTTCAACAGCAATATATTCAGTCTCAAGCTTCTGCTGTACATACCATACCGTCGCTTCCTAATTTAAACATTTACCATTATAGTGAAGAGGAGGTGTATCAAGCACTGTTAAAACTAAAAAATAAAATGACATCTGGGCCAGACTGTATTCCAGCTTTTATTCTGAGAGACTGTGCTAATATTTTCAAATCTCCGCTTATGCTTATTTTTAACATGTGCCTCAACTCTGGTGTGTACCCCTCACTATGGAAACAGTCCTCTATTTGTCCAATATATAAAAAAGGGGATAAAAAACAAATTGAAAATTATCGTCCCATCGCTCTTTTGTGCAATTTTTCCAAGGTGTTCGAGATCTTGCTACACAAGAGTATTATGCGTCATGTTCAGTCCTACATCTCACCACTGCAACATGGTTTTGTTAAGGGTCGTTCCACTGAGACCAACTTATGTTTGTTTACACAATTTTTATCAGACACAATCGACACCGGCCACCAGGTGGATACGGTGTACACCGATTTTTCGAGAGCATTCGATAGGATTGATCATTTTAAGTTAATTAACAAATTAAATTCTTTTGGTTTATGTGATCGTCTATTAGACTTGATGAAGTCGTATCTTTTTGGTAGAACACAGTTTGTGATCTGTAAAGGATTTAAATCGGTAGAAATAAATACAACATCAGGCGTTCCTCAAGGATCAGTTCTTGGGCCTCTTTTGTTTATCCTTTTTATTAATGACATAACATCTTCATTAGAAAGTCGTTGTTTACTATATGCGGACGACTTAAAAATATTTCGAGTAATAAGATGCATAGACGACTGTCTCACATTGCAAAATGACCTACACAGGTTATTAGTTTGGTGTTTGGAAAACGGTCTTTTATTGAATATCGGTAAGTGTGGCGTGATGACATTTTCTTTGAAACATATACTCCTCTTGTTTGATTACATGATTGACGATGTAGTATTACAACGATTTGACGTTGTCAAGGATTTAGGAGTGATATTTGACAAGAAATTGTCATTCAACAATCATGTAGAAACAATGATCATGTCAGCGTCGAAATCTCTCGGCTTTGTCTTACGCAATGGTCGTAATTTTCGCAACAGTGAAACATTATCAACATTGTATTTCGCGTTTGTGAGAACTAAATTAGAGTATGCGTGTAATATATGGGCCCCAGGATATATGATATATGTTAACATGATCGAAAAAGTTCAGAGAAAATTTTTAAAATTTTTACATTATAAGAAATTTGGTTTCTACCCTCCAAGAGGTTTTCCTGAAGAAGAACTCTTACAAACCTTTTCCATCAATAGTTTACTGAAAAGACGTTTATATTTTTCGTTCATATTCTTATACAAAATTGTCTCTGGAAATATCGACTGCCAAGATTTATTGAAATGTATAAATTTGTTAGTTCCAAGGGTAAATGCGCGTAGATATGACACATTTTACATTTTTACAGCTCGCACTAATGTGCGCAAATTTTCTACAATTTATACCATCTGCGAAAATTACAACAGAAACCAGGATATGTTCGACATCTTTAACACCACTTCAAGAAAAATTAAAAATATATGCTTGTTACAGGCTGAATGATGGTGTTAAATTTAAGTTAGTTTTAATGTTAAATACATTCATCTTACCCCAATAAATGGTTGTACTGTGGGGGTGAATATTAATAATAATAATAATAATAATAATAATAATACGAGTTACCGTGCTCTTTTGCCTTATCCCGAATTGTCCAACCCTGCTCCTGAAGATGCCACTTACGAAAGTGTGCGAAACTTTGAGCCCAAAAACTCAATTAACACGGTCCCAACTCGGAAAACGATCATATATTTTAAATTTAAAGTTAAAAAGGATGACACAAAAACTGTTTGGGAAAATTAAAAGACCTTGAAGTAGAAAACAAGAAAAACTCTGAATTTTTAAAATTGTTACATAGACTTCATGACGATGCAGAAAAAAACGAAGATAGGCGATATTTCTTTTGGATGTTCTTAAAAATTATAGTCGAAAGGTTCCTCGACGTTCAGAACTGTCTGTGCGATTATGTACCGTCTAGAGATGTAGTTCTCCAAAAAGATATGGATTTGGGAGAAACATTTACCAAAATTACAATTTCGCGATACTTGGGACCCTTTAATGGAACATCGGAGTTGATAAAAGAAAGGTTACAAGCTGAAATTGCCAATTTAAAAAATCCAACAGAACGAGTCTGCTCCTTAGTAACAGATGTCCATACGAGAAAAATTGTTTTGTAGTCGATTGGAGGATTGTATATATGGCTTGAGCAGCTGTAGTGCGCCAAATGTAGACCAAAAACCAGACATAGCAAACATTCCAGTTGGGCACTTTTTTATAGTTACTTAACATCAGAGACTTATCATGAATTAACTCAAAAAGTTTTAAAACTTCTTACTTCTTGTGGATCTATTGTGTTGTGAATTATTGTAGCAAACCACTTTTCTGTAAATGTTAATGTCAAAATCAGTTATTTTAGCATTCGAACTGACGTAAAACAAATTTATGGATGACTAAAGAAACACAATTTGTTGATGGTAGATCCAAGAAGCATGAACAGAAACCCAAGATTATCTCAGGTCATTCTGAACTATCGTCCAATGCCCAAAAAACACATAATAAAAGTTCAAAGAGACGTTAAACACCGAGTACCATCTCATGTCAAAATGCTACTGCACATCTGTTTAACTCACAGAAACCAGAGAAATTCGTGAATTATTCTTAAAGAGATATTACTTAGCATTGGAGAATTTTATATGTCCAAAATTCGCGTAAACCATAGAATAGAAGCCCATGGAAGATGTAGGGAGAGCTCAATCCTGTCAAAGCGACTGTCTTATGTCCAAGAACTCGCAGATGTTCAACCATGTAAATCAAGAAACGAAGTCTAAGAAGACATCAGTCTTACCTAAAGGAGTGTTTTACTTTTAAGAATTAACAGATGCTCAGTTCATATGGAACATAAAAGCACTAAATGTTCAAGGATGTCAGTCTAATCTGAACGACTGCTCCATGTGTAAAGATCTCGGTGTTCGGTGTATTTAACTTCCGTCGAATGCCTCCTGAATTTCCAGATGCATCTCTGTTAAAACAGACAAGTACTTAGATGAAACGACAGTCAGGAAAAGCACAAATACTTTGCTGATTTAGGGAAACTTTAAAAACATAAAATAATGGAGTAAGAAAGTGAATAATTAACCTGACAATTATGTTCAGAACGCGGTGTATTACTGGTGGCCTATATCGCGTGTCAATGGTAACTTGGTACATAAATATGTGTATAGAGACTGGTCCACGAGTAATAAAGAGCCTGAATAATTTTGAAACAACACGTTTTATTTTTTAGTATTGAAATAAATGTTCGAAGTGTTGACCGACGTTTATCTCACATGCGTCAATCCTATTCCAGAAGGATATCTCAACACGTATTAATATCTCCGAAGTAATGATATTTCGTATTGCTTCTGTAATTTTTTCTTCTACATGGTCGACACTATTTATCGGAGTTTTGTAGACCTTTCCCTGTGCATCACAAAAAATTCAGGGGTGTCATATCACAGCTTCGGGGGGGCAAGGATTAATCGAACCTCTCCCAACCCATTTATTAAGAAAAATTTCGTCCAGGTAATTTTGCACGCTTTTGTGAAAATGGGGAGGGGTGCCGTCCTGGTGGAACTATAAATTTTGGCGGATTTCGAAATTAATGTTTTCGAGGAGTATCGGTAACGCATAAGGTAGAAAATTTAGACATATAAATTTCCATTTAAATTTTCCCGAAAAAAGTAAGGACCAATAATGCTGTTTGCGAGTATCCCACACCAAACATTTCTAGGATAAATTGTCCGAAAGTGACTCTAATCCAGTGAGGATTGTTTTGGGCGTAATAGTGGCAGTTATGTTTATTAACTCCACCATTGTTCGAAAATTTTGCGTCATCAATAAAAAGAACGAAATCATAAAAACGAGGATCTAAATTGTGTTTTTCTCTAAACTAAATTACACAGTGCTAATCTTTTTTGGTAGTCAGTGGTTTTAGTTCTTAAACCAAAGTCAGGTGATAGCGATGAAATTTATTTGCACAAGTATTCGTTGCACCGACGTTTTACTAACGCAAACAAGTTGCTGCAATTGTTCTTTGACTGCAATGGGGATTTTCATTAACCATTTCTAGAACTGCCACTTCATTTTCAACACTGGGAGCTGTTCGTCTTCAGGGTTTTTTTCGAAGTTGGCCAGTTCTCCCTCAAGAAACTTCCTAGTCTTTTAAATATGGTATCTGTAGGGGCTCTTCTTTCAGGAAAACGTTGTAAATAAACACGGGCTTCCAAAGACGCGTTCTTTTGGCATTCACCGTAAATTAACACTCTATATCTACCTTTTCGTCATTCGAATACGTTTCGTCGTTTATTGCGTTAGTAAAAAATAAGTGGTGAAAATGTGTTTTGGGTTGCGTTTCAAATTTATTCAGGTTTTTCATTACTCGTGGACCACCTGTATACCTATATGAAATATAGTCAGTTAACTATGTTGTAACACAAGACAAAATTTTCTTGCTCTATTAGACTTTTTTTTCTTAATTTTGATTTATTGTTATAACTTTTCAACCACTCCCTTGGTTCTTATCTTAAACATTCATAGCCCATTGCCTTATAATTTTTTCGATTCAACACACTTACCAGTATACATTTAACAAAACATTAATGCTCAGAAGAAATTCTTTTAATAATAATTTGTAACAAACTTATAAGTAGGAACACATAATGTGAAGTTACAAAACATAAATTAATAAATAACAATATGTATTTTGTACAAGTGGTACGTACTTTTCTCTGACGAAGTACATTTGATATACGTATATAAAAATAATACTATTTTCAACAAATACCTACTCCCATTAAATAACAATTTGTCATTGTCAGCACAAAAATAATCACAGCGCGACCACTAGGAAACATTTATACCAGTATAAAATGCTAGTAATACTAATTTCTTCACTAATCATCTATAATCAAAGTTGGAATAATCCAGATCCACCTCTCTAAATGTCCTCTCAACCCTCCTTATCAACTCATCTTTAAAATTCCAAACTCTGATATCCATAGCACTATCTTCTTTCATCGACTTACAATCACCAACACCAGAAGCACAATCTGCACGATAATGTTGCAGGTGAGCCAAGTCTAAATCTATTTCTTTATTTGTGCAACCTTTAAGACATTTAAACGGAAAATGATTATGCAAAGCTACAACATTTTTGGTATCATGAAATCCTTTCACGAAATACCCGGGTTTGGTATAATTGTGTGACCTATAAACATGTTGCAACATGTGCATGTGTTTGGGAATATCGCTAAACCAATCGTGTTGGTGTAAATATGTGTCAAAGAAATAGATATTACGTGCCATATACGAATATACGTTAGGATACTTTTCCTGTAGGGTTTCAATGAGTTCGACCCATGTGTTTTCTACCGGCACTATTACTTCATCACTATCCAGAAGAACAACATATTTAAACTCGTGAATGTGTTTGTAGAGACAGTCGTTGAAAGGGATAACTTCCTGGAGGCGTCTTTGGATAATTTTCTTCTTAAGAAACTCCTTTTGTAGAAGAGGTAGGTTGGAGAAATCTCCGACTAGACTTATCGGGGTTACTTCAACCAATCCATTGTTAACGTAATAGTCTAGAATTCTTTGAGTATTTGGATGGACACTGAATTCATAAAAATTGATCTTCTCGGCGCCTGTAAATACTTGTGTTAGCGATAAATAGAAAAAACGAAAAACTTACCTAGTAGATTGACCAGTTCAATCCATTCCGTTAAGCGATCACCTCTATCTTCAAAAGGAAAAGACAAACCCTTCACACAAACAACAAAATTCTTCTTCTCTTCAACGTGTTTGTAAAAAATCTTCAAATTATTGGAAGCGGTAGTACATGGTTTATCTACCAAAGACACCGAAATCGGATACTGACCACTATCACGAACCACAGGACACGTTATCAAGTATGGATGATTAAAATAAGCAGTGTCGGCGCCCCATTTTAAGCGAAACATCCAGAAAGGAACTTCGCTTGCTACTATCTTGGGTCTAGGGATTTTGTCGTACCAAAATTGGCAGTAGAAAGTTTCCTCTGTTTTGTGAACGTCGTATGTGCCGACTATTCTTATGACACTACCGTTTCTTTGGTCTAGGTACGCGTTGAACAAGTGGAAAGTACCATTGGTGGTCTTCTGCAACTGCCAGTAGTTGTTTCTGAATTGCAAATCAAAGAAATCGGGAAATTTGGCGCAAGTTGCATTCAACCCAGGAGGTCTTTTTTGTTTGCTATTCAAATAAATGTCCGCCAGGTTTCCTGTTTTGTTGCTGTTAGGAGAGATATATTGTGGGTGGTACTTCGGTACTGTTCCTTCTGTTTCTTGAGAGCTGTGGTAAATTTGAAGGATTTGTCGAAAGCTCCCTGCTTTTGGATCATCTGTATTTGTTTTTAGTGATATATTGTACATGAATACAGTTAGTAGTACGACAACTACCAGGAATAATATATAAATCCTCCTTGGTATCATTGTGCTGCAAATAATTGGAAAATTAATGGCTGCTGAAGAATTTACTTATATAGTGTGTCGAGTGATAATATATTAATTCCATAAATTCTAAGAACTAGAAAAGTCTTGATATAAAAGAAATCAAGATATTATTTTCAAGAGGTTTGATAACAGAAGCCGACGATTACAAAACTACCAAATATTTTTCTATGGGAAACATTTTGTTAAATGTAAAGCATCTAGATATAGTATTTAACATTACTAGCATGGTAAAAGGGTTTTTACTGGCGAGCAGAAGGATACAGGCGAGCCAGTCACCTTCTGGAGCCACTAAAAACCCGTTACCTTGCGTGTATTGTTCAATATTTTATTTGTTTCTCACTTGTAAATAACTACTATAAATTATTAAAAACTTTAGAAGGTCCAATATTTGAAGAAACATTGTATGAGCTCTAGCATGGCACTTGTCATAGCATTTACTGTATTTTCGAGTTCTGTCGTTTAGATTTTTCGATTTATCGTTTTCGACGTTAACTGCCAAGGGTTAGGTCCAGGTATCAAAAAGTAAACAATACGCAAAAAGCAGTGTATATAAAAACAGTTAATTGATGCAACAAAAAATCTAGTTACGACTTCGTTTTACTTACCCAAGACAAAGTTTGAAAACATTACTGTCGCAAACTTTTACGCTGCTTGTAAAGTTTATAATTTCCTGTTTAAGTCATAAAATTTGCACAACTTGATACCAAAATAGCGACAATTATCAGTGCGAATGCTACCTGTACATGCTACTAAAAAAATTTTACTCACACGTGCCGGCAGAACCTATCTTCGTGCCGAACGCACACACTTTGAGTGAGTTTACCGAAGATCAATTTTTTATCTTACGTTATCGTAACGTAAATCGCTGATAAAAGAGCAGCACTTTTAAATATTTACACGATTGCAAATTACCACGAAGCAAGTTGGCAAACATTGGGTGTGATTTTAATAACAAAAGATTTACAATGAAAAATGATATTTTTTTATCTCCATATTTCCACAGAATTAGTAACATAAGGTATTAATTACTGTGTGAGCGTATTATTTGGCTTTTAGTTAGAAAGAGACCGAAATCATAGTGTGCCCGCCTTCGTACATTGTTTTTTAAGGAAAATATCTCTTGAGATAAATAAATCACGGTTCGTCCTAGTATCAGTGGCTATTATTATCCCCAGTACTTGTTTAGATAAAGCGTCTCCTAATCACAGCATTTTATCAGCCGCCGGTTTTATAACCAATTCATCAAAATCACTTATAAGCACAATCAGAAATATCCAAATCTAATTCTTTAAAAGTCGCTTGTACACTTCCTATTAATTCGTCTTTAAAATTCCACATTCTCGTATCCAAAACACTATTTGCTTTCATCGACTGGCAGTTACCTACACCAGACGCACAATCAACCCGGTAATGCTGAAGATGTCCCAAATTCAAATCTATCTCTTTGGTTCTACAAGAGTTGTGACACTTGAAAGGTAAATGGTTGTGCAAAGCCACCACTTTTTCAGTATCATGGAAACCCTTAACAAAATGCCCGGGTTTAGTATAGTTCTTAGCTCTATACACATGCTGCAGCATATGCATGTACTTCGGAATACCATCAAACCAGTCGTGTTGGTGCAAATACTCGTCAAAAAAATAGACATTACGAGCCACATAAGACGAACTATTAGGATACTTGTGTTGCACAGTTTCAATTAGTTCCACCCAGGTACCATTCGCTGGCACTATCACTTCATCGGTGTCCAAAAGCACAACGTACTTGTACCCAGACAAGTGCTTGTAAAGACAATCGTTGAAAGGAAGGACTTCTTGAAGCCGCCTCGAGATGATTTTTTTTCGCAGAAACCAACTCTGGAGGAGAGGGTGGTTGGAAGAATCTCCCGCTATGGTAACAGGGGTCACTTCAACGAAACCCTTGGCGACATAATAGTCTAGAACCCTCTGAGTGTTCGGGTGAACATTGAACTCGTAAAAATTGACCTTCTCGGCACCTGCAACACCCAACCCTTACCAAAGAACCACTTTTGTGCAAAATCGTACCTAAAATCCGCAGAAGCTCAATCCATTCCGTCAAACGTACACTATGATCGTCGTACGGAAACGACATCCCTTTCACGCACACCACAAAATTCTTCTTCTCTTTATAGTCAGGGTTGTAGATCTTCACATTGTTGGTAGTTGAATCGCAAGGGTTCTCAGCTAGGGATACGGAAACTGGAGAAGCATTATCCAGTAGGACAACAGGACACGTTATTAAGTATGGGTGGATGAAGTAGCCATTATCGGCACCCCATTTGGGGTAGAACATCCAAAAGGGAACCTCACTTTTTACTAATACGGGTTGCGTACTACCATTGTACCACAACTGGCAGTGCAAAGGTGTTTGTGACCTGTATACATCGTACGCAGCCACGATTCTGACCACGTTGTCTCGTTTGTCCAAATAGGCGTTGAACAAAAAGAGGATACCTTTGGTGGTGTTTTGTATCTGCCAGTGATCGTTCCTGAAGTGGAGATTGAAGAAATCGGGAAACCTGGCACAGGTACTGTTGAACCCTTTCGGTTTTTTGGATTTATCGTTTAAATAAATGTCTGGGAGGTTACCACTGTGGTTTCTCAGGGATGCAACGTAGGGTGGATTATGTTTGAGGCTTATCACCTCTGTGGTAACACGCATGTGAGGGTTGACTGAAGAATAGGTTGAAAGGTATTCTGGGTTTTTTATTAGTAGCTTGTCATAAAAAAGGAATGAGAGTAACATGACTATTACTAGCACTAATATAAGATTAAGTCTTTTTGGTAACATGGTGCTGAAAAAAAAACAGTTGCTAGGTTACATAATATTATTAGAGAAAATCCAGGTTCGTGATGAAACGAGATAACCATTGTTATATGAATAGTGTTAAAATTGCGAATGTGTATTCGTTGACGTTAGAGACGTGATTGATTACTGAGTAGCTGTCTAGATGTTTGACGAAAAGAAGACTTACTTACCTTCATTAGGGGGAAACCACTCTGCCCGTGCCCAACTAGATTGTGCAACTACTTGTTCATAGATTACAATCTCCCCATTTTAATCAAACGTTATCAAGCTTTTGTTTGATAAAATTATTCGCATATGTTTGCTCAGAATAAATACTCGTGAAACACACAGTTATACGAATCGTTTATTATTTTAAATATCAGAGTGTTGATAAATTACTTACATAGAATAAATAACCTAAACTAGCCTCACTTAAACCTAAAGGCACATTATGTAATGGAAAAACTCGATTACCATAAACTATTTACAATGAGAGACCGTGAGTACCTAAACACCTACCAAGTCGCAACCAGAATTGAGCAAAACCATGGCATTCAACAATTTATCACAATTTTTCAATGGTCCTCTCGTACGTAAGGAACTTGAATAAGCTTGAGCACGAAATCACGATCATCGTTTGTTCTCTTTGCTTTCTTGGTTGGCGAAATAGCCTAAAGTCCTTAAAGTATTCGTCACACGACTTATTAAAGGTTCCTTAAACTTCCAAATAGTCGTATCCATTACACTAGTTTTCCTATACTCTTCACAGCTCTTCTTTAATGTTTTAACACAGTCGGCGCGATAATGGTGCAGTTGTGCATCGGTAGTGTCTATAGGGTAGGAAGTGCAACCGCTACCAAGACACGAAAGAGGGAAATGATTATGCAAAGTTAACACTTTCTCAGTATTGTGGAAACACTTGACGTATTGGCCGGGTTTGGTGAAGTTCTTAGCTCTATATACGTGCTGAAGCATGTGCATGTACTTAGGGATTTCTTTGAACCAGCCGTGGTTGTGCAACAAATCGTCTAAAAAGTACACATTGCGGACGTTATAAGACGCTCTTTCTTCTTTATTGATTTTCAAAGCTTTAGGTAGTACCTTTTCCATGAGCTCTTTCCAAGTCGTACCTTCAAGAGGCATGATTACTTCATCAATGTCCAAAAGAGCTATGTACTTGTAGTGGTACATATGTTTGTAGAAACAGTCATTGTAAGGGATCAACTCATTCTGTCTTTTATGGTTAGTTTTCTTAGTAAGGTAGAGGTGTTGGAAGGAAGGGGCATTGGGTTGCCCACCCGCTAAGTTTATCGGGGTCACGTGAACCTTCCCTTCTTGTTCGTAATGTTTCAGTACCTTACTAATGTTAGGGTGCACTTGCAACTCATAGAAGAATACCTTGTCGGCACCCAAAAGGTTCAAAAGCTCTATCCACTCAATCAACCGAACGGACAAGTCCTCGTGAAGAAAATCCAACCCTTTAACACACACAGCAAAGTCTTTCTTCTCCGCTGGCTTTTCAAAGATCACCCGTAGATTCGTAGTAGCGTTATCACAAGCCTTCTCCACTAAAGAAATCGACTGGGGAATCTTCTCCTTATACTGCGGAGGAATCACGCAGGCCGTTAAATACGGCTGATAGATCCCCTGCTTGTAATTCCCCCACTTCTTGTACCAAATATACTTATACTCGAAAGACTTGGTAATCACAGGCTCCTTCTTCCCGTCGAACCAAAACTGGCAATGCGTCACCACCGTCGGCTCTATCCTATCTATCATCCCCAAAATCCGCACCGTGGGCCCCAACCTATTATTCGCCCTTTTATCCAAGTACGCTCCGAACAGCTGAAAAGTCCCGTTGGAAGTCCTCAACGTCTGCCAGTACAGATTGTTGAACTCCAGGTCGAACATGCTGGGGAATCGGGCGCACGTGTTGTTCATTCCCATGGGTTTGTTCTTGTTTTTGTTCCAGTACACGATGGGCAAATTGGGCATTCTTTTTTGGATGTCTTCGACTAACTTGTCTTCGGAGAGAGAGGGGCTCTTGTCGACGAAGGGTTCGAGGTCGTTGGTTTCGGTGGTGGAGTCGGCGTGACGTGTTAGTGGGTCCAGGCGCTTCTGGAGGAGAAAGCGGCTATTCAGGTGAGGGACGCTCATGTCGAGTTTGATGGGGCGGAATTGGACTATCGTGAAGATGATGATTCCGATGGCCATCAGCTGGATCAGGATTTTGGTGATGAAGCGGCCGCCGCCTCCTTTGGATTTGCACAGCATGTTGGGGTCCTGGAACAAGAATAACTTAGTTAGGGTGGTGGTTCTGAAAGGTTTTGGGTTGAGTTAAGTCATTTTTGAAAACTACGTTTTCTTGAGCAAAGGGAAAAACCTTAGTGAAAGCGCACCGAGGGATTAAGTAGGTGCTCGTGGGGCGTGCTAGAGGTAGATCAAGGTTTTGCATTAATATAAAAAACAACTACACGGTAATTACTTAATTTGAACTCCGGGATAAAATTTCTGCGTTTCTTCAAAACTGATCTTTGTTATGAGGTTTTGCTGAATGAAAAGAGTTGTTTCGATTTTTTTAAACATTAGGTGATAACAACTGTCTTCGATGAAGGAGTACCTTAGGTTTACTGAATTAAAGTAGATCTTTTTTTGTTTTTTTTGAGAATGGAACATATTTCTTATATATTAGTCTGGATTTCAGATCTCTTTTGGGGATCTCATGTCTCGGAAGGAAAATATTGTTTGTTCTTTATTCTTTATAATGAGGAATCTTTCTTATTATATAATAAGAAAAAAATCTGATATATATCAGATTTATGGAGTTGGGAATAAGAATTTGAGTTTCTTAGGTATAGACGAAGGGTAGCAAAGCTATATTTACTCGTAAGTTCCGTCTCAAGTTCACTGGATTTAGTGGATCTTTTTTTTGGAATGGAATAACTTGCTACCTAAGGTCCACTTTGGGCATTTCATGTTTTCGAAGAAAGGACCTTCACAAACTAGGCAACAATCCGCCATTCCTTCAATTTATTTTCCCTTTTTTTAAAACCATTTTGACACTTCTAATTCTGGATTACTTATTGATTGTCCAAGAGCAAGATATTTCTGAATCTTTAAGATGAAAAAATAGCTGGTTGTGGATTGTTGTTTTCAAATTTATTACATATACGTAGTTCCACCAATACCTTAACGAAATAGAAAGAAAGAGTACGATTTTCTAGGATACTATGGAGTTTTATAGTCAGGATTTGGATGTCTTGAATATAGCAGACCTTTTTTGAGAACGAAAAAATTTTCTACATTGGTTTGGATTCGGCATTTCATTTCTCTGAAGGAAAAATCCTCAGTGATTGATTACATAAAAATTCATTGAATTTGTCTTTCCTTTCTTCTCTATAATGTGCAATATTTATGTGCTATTCCGACATTGGGAATTCTAGATTAACGGTTCTTCAGCAGCAAGAAATTTCTGATGCTATAAACATAAGTAAATGGTTGTAGATTGTTGTTTTAACAGATTACGTACGAGGATACAAGGTAGGTACAAATAGAAAGAAAAAGTAACTTTCCGTGATATTATACAGGGTGTTATTGAAAGGTACGTACAACAAAATTGACAGTTCTACGCGAAGTCTAAGAAGCCTGAAAAACTTAATTTGTGTTATCAAAATTATAAGGGGAAAATTAACCCCTATCCAACCTTTTTAGACGCTACTGAAGGATAAATAGGTAAAATTAATTTATTTTAGTAAATCCTAGGAACTGTAACAATAAAACTTTTGTTAAGACTAAATGTTGCTATAGAAACGAAAGATGATCTTTTTAACAGAGGCGTACAACGAATTTGAACATAAATTTTAATAATTTTAATCTCTAAAAGGAGAACACTTTTACCTGAACTTTTTTTAACTTTTAGCACCCATACTTCGAGACCAATTGCCGATTTTATTTTGTACGTACCTTTCAATAACAGGCTGTATAGTTTAACAGTTAGAATTTGAGCTTTTTAGGGGTAGCAAAGGTACATTTAATTCCGTCCAAGGGTTTACTTAAGACGTTAAAGCAGACCATTTTTGAGACTGGAACAAGTTTCTACAGTCAGTTTGGCATTTCCTGTATCTAAAGAAAACAATTTTCACCAATTACGCAAAACTCCATCATACACTAAACTTGTTTTCCGGTTTTTCTTCAAAAGTGCAATATTTCAAGATATTTAGAAAATTTTAATCTAGAATATTGATGAAATGAAGAAATTTCAGTGAATTTAACACTCAGAATTTGAACTTCTTGGGTACCGGTGCAACATAGTAAAGCAACACTGAAGTGAAGTCTACTGAATGAAATAGAAGATTTTTGTACAAAGACATGCGTAAGCTTTGTATCACTCTGGATTTCAGGTCTCATCTGGGCATTTCACGCCTTTGAAGGAAAAGTTCTCCGTAATTACGCAAAAATACACCGTTATCATTAAGGAAGCCTAATTTTCTGTTATTTTGAGTTCCGTATTGGAGGAATAGCTTTCTGATGTTATAAAAATGGAGAAATGGTTGCGGATGTTATTTTCGTATGTGGTACGTCTAGAAAATTCCGGCATAATTCAATCGATATACTTAAAAGGAAGGATAGATCCTCTATGGGAGCTTTAGCAATCACGATTTCAGCTGTTGGTATAGAACTATAGACGAAGAGGAACCAAGACAAATTTAGACGCTTCGTATTTCTCAGAGGAACAACAAATCTCTGTATTAGTTGGGATTTTCCATTTCGTTTAATTATTATCTGAAAACAAACAACTTCAGCAAATCATGCCACAGTACTGTTCTCGCAATTTTTTTAGTTCGCAAATTTGGAGCCATAACAAGTTATATAAGTCGCAAGATTTATTCTTCAAGCTAGCATAGTATTTTTAAATAATATGGACTTTGTACACTACAGCCCACTTGAATGAAACTCAGTCTTTTCAGCGCTGTTTATCTCGTACAAAAACCAGATTCCTACTAAAAACGTCGATTAAAGCCGTCCAATCGGAACGAATGACTTATCCTCATTTCTTGTATACAAATAACAACAAAATAAAAGAAAACGTTTCAACCTTTAAATTTCAGGTGTACGCCGAGTCGTGACGCAAACACAAATGTCAAGAAACAGTGATCTGTCTAATGTGAAGGTTTTCAGAAATGGGATGATTGAAGAAGCCACACGCGAACACAACGGACACCAAAAAAAAACACACAAAATACAAATATCCATAAATAATAATAACTATTAAATAAAACAGCGTGTAAATGCCTAGTAAAAGTAAATAATAAATTTCAATGCTGCGTATATTAAGTTTTGTTCCTATTGTTGCCAAACAAACAGCACTCATGCATAATGCGTTTTGTCACGCTCTTTGTGCTCTTTTCACGAGCAAAATAACTCGTGTCTATTCAGTGTCCATAAAAATGTAGATAAATCCGTAAACGATAAATTCAAGCGATAAAAGTCTCGTCTTTCCCTCGTTTTCTAAAGAGGACGACCGTAGAAAACGAACTTAATGATAAAGAAATCGAGGTCGATGAAAACGCGAACCGCCCAAAAAACACATCTGGAATTAAAGAAAAGTTAGCGAGTTAACGAACCAAAACTGGATATCGTGATTGGGCGGTGGGGGGTAATTATATGCCCCAACATGGCTGTAATCTTGTAATTTATTTGTTTACGATGGAGATGAGGTAAGGATAACCTTGGCAAGGCCATCGCGAGATTGCGTTCGCTCACCTGAAACTGAAACTACTGTCTTGGAAGGTGGAAGTAATGTGAAGACGTCTTTTGAAGTGTTACGCAAATAAGAGTTCGGTTTAGGTTTGATGATTTGTTGTATGTAATTAAGTAATGGTGTTTGCGATTATCGAGTTGCGACACATGGATACAATGTCACTTGAAATGACGAAAATGTTTATTAACTCGCGTAATGAAAGGTATACACATTCCGAGAGTTGCACAGAAAAAAAATAAACACGGGATTCTACATTGGTTGAGGCTAGCAATCCATAATTTATCATAACAACTCACGAAATTCCATTTACATACGTATATATCGTGCATTAACGTGGTTGGAAAAAAACAAGTATAGACATTTTTTATTTATATTTTTGTTTAATTGTGGTATTTCAGTGTATCCAGAATCATACGACATACAAATGTTGTTATGTCGATTTAAGGTCATTAAAAACATAGAAAATGTTTAACCCAGCTGTGCAACAGGTTATGGGCCCAGAGGGCAATTAAAGTAATAAACCAATTGGAACTCAGTTACTGATTGAAAATTCGACCGGTAAGAATTACGACACATGAAAGTTACAAATAGAAGCAATTTTGCCAAGAACTGATTCATGGGGCCATGTTAATGGGACAATTCAAACCAGAAAGCAAAAATGATGTAAGTTGATCAGGATATTCGAAGAAATGAGATTTATTGTTACCAATCAGCCAAGTGCATTAAACTAAATTAAACACTGATGATAAATTACCAGAACTAAAAGTTTAAAAAAAGCTGGTTTAAAGTTATTTAGACACAATTCTGCTCCATAAAGATTTATTAGTTTAAATGTTTTGTAGTCATTAAATTAGTGTTATGTAATTTACTCAAAGTTACAAAAAGTTCCTTCTGTAAATTTCATTTTTTGCAACAAACCGTATGAGTATAGAGGTTTAGAGTTTGAAGATTGCAGCTAAATTAAAACAGAAAATCTAGAAAATCAACATTACAGTTTACTTTATCACTAAAAAATGCGCTCTTACAAGACGGTTAAATATAGTAAAAAAACAAACACGTTTTTGAACAGAAATCATTGCAGCAGCAAATTATAAGAGAAATAAGTCACCACGAAGAAATCTTTTTGGTAATATTTTTATTGTTTCGTCCGAAAAACGCAATACTAAATACCTTAAGATACAGCCAAAAACACATTAGCATAAATCATAACCCTAAAAACGGAAATATTTTCTTGGTTGAGTAAAGTTTGTTCACGAGTTTTCAAATGGTAACGTTCATGAGAAATTTATGACCAAGAATAAAGAAATTGACATCAGGAGAAGAAATTATATCGATGTTAGCGGAAAGTAAAAGTAATTTTTTAGTGATATAAGTAAAGAAAAGTCATTAGTTCCAAGCGGAAATAATAAAATTATTTACAATAGCTTCAAGAACTGACGCATATGCTAAATGGAAACGGACAAAACTTACTGATGCTGGAGATACGTAGGTAGGTCTGTTCACAACGGCAATCAATAAACAA